CGGGTGCGCGGACGCGCGCGCGGGCCTCGGGGCGCTCGGGGTGGAGATGATGGACGTCGTCGACGGTGGCACCGCGGGGAGGGGGGTGGACGGTGGGACGGCGACGGGCGTGGAAGACGGGATCTCGGGAGGACGCGACGGCGCGCGGCGCCCGAGCGCGCGCTCGCGCGAGGGCTCGAATAACGGGCACTCGAGCTCTGGGAGCGATGAGGGCGCGAACGATGGGTCGGGGAGTGAGCGTGGGGGGGGGGGCGGATGGGTGGTGAAGACGGCGAGCGGCGGGCGACGGACGTTCTCGCCCGCGCTCGCGGTTCCGAGGCGAATGAACTCCGTCATCAAGGGACAGCCGAGGTACGCCGAGGATTTGGGGAAGAATTCCAGTCGTTTGTTCCGACGGGCGACCGATAGGGAAGGGATGGAGGGGCGGGAACGCGTCCCGCTGAAGCGGAGTGAGTCGAGCGTGGACGTGGATATGAGCCAAGCGAGCGACGTGAGCGCGGCTTCGACCTCCACCTACGTCACCACCTTGGGTAATCAGAGCGGGAACGCGTTGAAATCGAGCGCGAGCGCGGTGGAACTGCGAGCGTTGAACAAGATTAAGCCAGAAGTACCGCCGTCATCGAGCGGTTTGTCTCACATCGGTGGGCAAGAGCACGCCAAGCAGAGAGAAAAGCCAAAGACTCGGGAGGAACAGCGAGGGAACCTGGGGAGCGAATTCGTCGAAGCGGAGTACGCGGAGGGTGTTCCCGACGCTTCGTGCATGAAAGGGGCCACGTTCAGAGATTTTATCATCCTCCGTGAGCTCGGTCGCGGGCTGTGTGGCACCGTCTACCTGGCCAAGTACCGCTTGACGGATCAACTCGTCGCCTTTAAGGTTATGCGAAAGCAAAAGCTTATCGACGTCGGAGAGGTTCGCCACGCGGTACGAGAGCGTGAGGTTCACGCCATGATGAATAATGGACCCTTCATCGACAAGCTGTTGCACTCGTATCAGGATAAGTGGGCGTTGTATTTGGTATTGGAGTACGCTCCCTGCGGCGACTTGTTTCAAGCGATGAACTATCACGGCTTGCCGACGCTTCAGGACGCGAAGATCTATACAGCACAGTGCGCACTGGCGATCGACTACATCCATCAGTGTGGGTACGTGTATCGAGACTTGAAGCCGGAGAATGTGCTCTTGGGCGCGAACGGATGCGTCCGTCTCGCCGATTTCGGCATGGCGAAAAAGCTGGAAACGGCGGATGACCGAGCATACACGATTTGCGGCACAGCGCAGTACATGTCGCCGGAGGTGCTGACGCATCGTGGTTGTCGATTTGAGGCTGATTTCTGGGCGCTTGGCGTTTTGATTTACGAGCTTTGCACCGGAACCACGCCGTTTGGCGGCGACAAGGATTCTCGCCAAGAGTTGTACCGGCGGCTCTTGCATCACCGCAATGACACAATGACCTTCCCGACGTGGTTCAACGCTGAGACGTGCTCCATCGTCAAATCATTCCTTCACGAAGACGAAAGTAAACGTTTGGATGCGAACCAGAGCTTTGATCACCCTTGGTTTGCGTCGGTATCATCCATGGATGTGCTCTCCGGCGCGCAGGCGCCGGTGCTCCAACCCCGCAGGCGTAACATCGTGTACGACATGAAGTTACGCGAATCCATCGCTCAAGGTGACGTTCCGTGGGAGCGCGGCACCATCGTGTCCGATCCAGCGCAGCTCGCCTTGTTCGAGTCGTTCTAGCCAGCTATTTTTTGCATGATTTTTTGCGCAGAGCGTCCGTCGGGACGCGTATGCATATTTTGTTTTTTTCTCGTCCCCTCGTCGACGCACTTCGAGGGGACATCGATACATTCTTTACCGTTGCCCGATTACATCAACGGCTCCAGTAGTTTCGTTCGCCGTCTAGACGCGAGCGTGTATTCGAATTTTTGTTTGAAATCAACCACTCTTCACGCCCTGGGTCTTGAACCAACGGACGCGAAAACAAAATCAGACTGTTTGCCCTAGGGGAACGAGCGAACCGCATTCACCGAATCGCCCAACGTCTCGCGCTCCTCCGCACGATGGACTCCCCCGAGGTCATCGGTCCGTCCCTCGAAGATGAGATCTCACGATGCGTTCCCGAGCTCTTACTCCAGAGCGATCTCGATAAGACCACGGTGAGCGCGTTACACAGAGAATTAGAGCTCAAGCTCGGGAGAGACCTGAGCCAACACGTGGAGTTCATTCGTCACCAGGTGCGTCGATTTTAGACGCGACGTTCGCGAACGCGCGATGAGAAGAAGGCATTGACGACTAATCGTTGACTGCGGTCCTTTAAATCGCGATAGATCACGGAGGCGCTGACGAAGAGGACGGATTTGATCAAACGGGCGCACGACGCGGCGAGCACGGGCGCGCAGCAGAAGAAGAAAGCGTTAAAGAAGAAGCCAGGATGCAGAGGAAAGACGAAGGAGGTGACGGATCCGACGCGACCGAAGGGGCCAAAGGGGCCATACATGATGTTCTGCGCGGAGAGGAGGCCGAAGATTAAGAAGGAGAAGCCAAACTTGTCGTTCCAAGACATCGCGCGACAGCTCGGGACAGAGTGGAGGACGATGTCGGACAGCGTTCGAGCGCAATACGAGCACATGGCGGAGAACGACAAGACCAGGTATGCGAAGGAACTCGCGATGTGGACCCCCCTGAGCTCAGCTGAAATGGAGAAACTTCGGGAGGAACAGCGCAAGCGAAAAGCAGCTGGCGGTCTCCAAGTCATGTACAAGTGCTCGCCAGAGCTTTCAAAATTCTTGGGTGGCGTGAAGGAGATTAATCGCCAGGCGCTGACGACATATCTGTGGAAGTACTTTCGAAAGAACGATCTCATGGATCCCATCAATAAGAGATACGTGGTCGCGAACGAAAAGTTGGCCAAGCTCCTTGAAATGTCCCCGCAACAGCGATTCCTCGCCTTCTCAGTGTCGAAGCACATCAATCGTCACCTGACGAAGAAATAGACATCGGTTGTGCAGTAATTAGAAATCATCATCAAGACGACGTGTGAGCGTTTTCGTGGAGTAGAACTGATCTGTAACAATCATGAATCTACGTTTTGCAATCCCGAGGAATCTTGTCACGCGAGTCGACGGCAACACAACCTTGGACTTATGAAGGACTTCATAAGTGGGCACACGCGCGGTCAAAACGCTGGATTTTCGAAAATCTTACAACGAATCGTTGAGACCATGTGCATCGCTCCGACAGAACCGCCGCCGAAGTCGTCTGGGAGAGCTTTCATCTTATCCTTCCTGTCCACACTCTTCCTTCTCGGAGTGTTCACACACCCTCAGACGATGAACATCGCCCACGACGTGATCTCTCGCGCTCACGTCGGCGCCGAATCATTGCATAAAATCGCCACAAGTGAGGACGATCGACGTCAGGCATGGGAGATGGCGACGCGCGGTGCTTCATGGGTTGGGGCGATTCGGGTGCGCTATGTCTCGCCAATATTACAAGTTGGTGTCGGTATCCTCGCGCTCTTGTCATCGCTCGTCGCGGCCGATCGACTGTTTCATTGCTATACGGCGACGTGGTGGAGGTATTTTTCGAAGAGGCGGGCTCTCGACCGCTTCAAGTACGTCGAGCTCGAGGGGAGCGACGAGGACCAGTATCCCATGGTGGTCATTCAGCTTCCAATGTTCAATGAAACCGACGTTTGCGTACACGCAATCGAGTGCGCACGTGAGATGGAATGGCCCAGATCGAAATTACTCATTCAAATTTTGGATGACTCAACCTGCCCAGAGACTCGAGCGACGATCGAGGAGGCTCTCGAGGTCTGCAAGGAACAGGGAGTTCACACGCAGTATCGTTGGCGAAGTGACCGAACAGGTTTCAAGGCTGGGGCGATGCACGATGCAATGGACGATATCGTCGAATACGACTATGTGTGCGTTTTCGACGCCGATTTCTCTCCAGATCCTGATTTTCTAATGAAGACGGTTCCTTGGATACACTCCAACAATCATGTAGGCTTTGTTCAGGCGCGGTGGACCTATATCAATTCCTCGGAAAACTTGCTCACGCGCGTGCAGAGTATTTCATTGAACTACCACATAAGATGTGAGCAATTTGCACGGTTTTCTGCAAATTTATTCTTCAATTTCAACGGAACAGCCGGAATATGGCGCCGCACGTGCATAGTCGACTCGGGGGGATGGAATCACCGGACCACAGTTGAGGATTTAGACTTGTCGCTCAGAGCGCACTTGCGAGGATGGAAGTTCATTTTCCTCGACGATGTGACGTGTCTCAACGAAATCCCCGCTCAGTATGACGCGTACCGCAAGCAACAGCACAGATGGAGTGCGGGTCCGATGCAACTCTGGAGAAAGGCGATGGGGAGTATTTGGGCGTCCAATGAAATTCCTCTTGCGAGTAAGCTCTATCTGAATGTCTTCTTCTTTGGCACGAGGATGTTCGCAACGCATTTGGTTTCCTTCTTCTTCTATCTTCTTCTCATTCCTCTCAGCACGCTATGTCCTGAGGTTGTACTGCCTCTCTGGGCTCTGGTGTACACGCCGATGCTTGTCACGCTCAGCACGTGCATCTTCACACCAGGAGGAATCTATTACGCCATTCCTTACGTCTTATTCGAGAACGCAATGACCATCGTTAAGCTAAGTGCCATGGTGTCAGGCCTCTTTGCCATGGAGAACGCGAACGAGTGGGTCGTCACCACAAAAGTTGGTAAGTGGGTCGCAAAACGCGTCGAGAAAGCGCGCAATATCAAGCTCGTCCAAAAGGTGGCCGCCAAGGTGGCCGCCAAGGCCGCTGCACGGAAGAAACCATTTCACGCTAAAGAGCTTCTGATGGGTGCGTTCTTCGCCACGTGCGGGCTTTGGGGAGTGTTCCGTCACGCACTCTTCGGTTTCTGCATCTTTCTCTTCGCACAGGCCTCCGTCTTTTTCCTCTTCGGCGCGAACGCGGTGGACAACCTCTTTCGCCAGCACCATCACGAGCACGCGGCGTGAATGTTCCATGGATTGTATGAGCAAACAGTATCATTACGTGTGGATTGTTCCCCAAAACGCGTCGTTTTTTTGAGACCGTTCGCGTCGCCGGACCGGGACAAAGCGCGTCGCGCCCCTTTCGTCGCCGCACTCTCGCGCGCGTCGCGACGAAGACTCCGAGCCATGCGCGCGTCTGTATCCGCCAACGCTTGCGCGCGCCCGAACCTCGCCGAGCGCACGCGAGGGTCGAGACGTGGACGAGGTTTCTTGACCTCGGCGCGAGCGAAGAGTTCGAGCGTCGCCGCCGTTGTCGTCAAGGCGAGGACGGCGAATGCGTCGCGTTGGGTGAGCCCACATGCGACGTGGACGGCGTCAAGAACGGCGCGGTCGCGCACGCGCGCGGTGCGAGCGAGCGCGGTGCTCACGGGAGAAGGTGACCAGGAGGAGCGGGACAGAAATGCGGGGAGACTTCTGCTCGTCAGCGTCGCCGCGATGTACGGAACGCTGAGTGTTTGCCTGAAGATGGTGTTTGAGACCGCTGGGGCGCCCACGGCCGGGGTGTTGGGCGGTATTCGAGGGTTGATGACGGTGCTGTGCTTCACACCCATGCTCCTCGCAAAGGGCTCAAAGGGCGGACCAGAGTACACGCAGGGCGCCGGTTTCTGGCGCGCAGCGTGCGAGTTGGCGCTGTGGAACCTCGGTAATCAGGGTTTGTGCAACGTTGCTCTGCTGTTCACGGACGCCACGCGGGTGAGTTTCTTCACACAAGCCTCCATTGCGTTCACACCCTTCATCGCGAGTATTGGCGGGGATAAAGTGCGACGCATGACTTGGCTCGGGTGCGTGCTCGCGTTCGTCGGCGTCGCCGTCCTAGGTATGGATGGTGGCGCGAGCACTGAGCTCGCGGGATTCGCTAGTAGCTTCAATTTTGGTGATTTACTCTCTATTGCAGGCGCGGCATCTTATTCAATGTATGTCTACCGAATCGGACACTTCGCTAAGGCAGGTTTCTACGGACAGGGATTGCAGGTGTGGAAGAACGCGTTTTTGGCAGCCATGTACGGTGGTTGGGCACTCTACGACATCTTCGCCTTCTCCAGCGGCGTCCCAGGCGCCGCCGTTCCGTTTGCCGCGTGGGGTAACCTGAAGATTTGGGCACTCCTCGCGTTCTCTGCCGTCATTCCGGGTTGCCTCGCGGATTTGACGCAATCCAAGGGTCAGGAGACCGTCTCCGCCTCCGAGAGCTCTGTATTACTCGCCGGTGAGCCGCTCTTCGCGGCTCTTTTCGGTGCAATCACTCTAGGTGAGTTCTTGGGTCCAATGGGCTACGCAGGCGGTTCTCTGATCGTTCTCGGCGGGCTCGTGGCGAGCGGCGTCTTCGGATCGAAAAAGGTGGAAGCGTGAGCATATTAATAATATCTTTTTTGCGCGCCGTCTAAATTGAGACGTCGACGCCTGATTTTGTACAAAGATAGGGGGCGATATAGCTGACTAGAATTCTTTCAATACCACTGATTTTTCCTATAGGTGCCACACACGACGACGCTCGTGATCTCGCACGACGACGTCCATCGACGCGAACGCTCAAACGAACGCAAATAAAAATCACGCTCTCGACATGGCTCTCTCCAACGTGGTGAGATGATCGCACACCGCGTTCGGCGAGCGAATGAGTCGTTTCACTCGCGTTGTGACGATTCGTAGTTTCTCGATCGATCTTCGCTCGACTAACGACGACGTGTCGACGCTGACGACGGACAAGATGGCCCGCGACACAGATTCTTTTTTCCGCGACATTTTTCGCGACGCCGATGACGTGCGTGCGACGCGACGACGCTCGAAGGCTCTAAGACTTTCGTCTCTTCTGGTCTCGTCTCGTCTCGTCTCGTCTGGGAGACTGACTCTCGGAAACGTTCACAGTTCTTTCAAAACTTCCACGGGCATCCGGGGATGGGAAATGCGTTCATGCCGCTCGCGCACCGGCCGCAAGGATCTGGTGGAGTCGGATCCACGGCTCTGATCGCCGGCCTTCGCGTGATTCCGGTGGATGTCTTGGAAGACGACAAGTCGTACGTCTTACGCGCAGATCTCCCGGGGATGAAGAAGGAGGACGTCAATGTGGAAGTCGACGGACAAATCGTCCGTATCAGTGCGACGAAGAAGGATTCGAAGAAGTGGGAAGACGAAGGGTACAAGTATCACAGAGCAGAACGTCGGGATACGATGGAGTACTCGCAACGTGCTTTGAGAATGCCGCAGAATACCGATTTCAGCAAGCTCGAAGCTTCGTTCGATGACGGCACTCTCACCGTGACTTTCGGTAAGCAAGCCACGTCCACGCCCACAGCGAAGACCATTGCGATCAAGTGATGCGTCACCATGATTGTTTCAAGACCATGATCACGATACGTCGAATTGAGAGTTACTTACTCGTTTCGAATTACTCGTTTCGTTTTTGAGAGCAGTTCAGTTTTGACAGAATCATCGTCTCTTTTACAAACACGCGTGCGATCCCTAAGCCTACTTCTACACTGAATCTCATACTACAGCTAGTTTTTTTGAATCAATGGCTCCTTGCTAGAAGCCTCGCCCGCTTTGACACCGACCCAGGACCTCGGCAAGCACGGACAAATTGTATCACGAGCGTATCCCTTCCCGGGAACTCTGAGCGGCGCCTGCTCATAAAATATTCCGCACGTCATGATAATCAAAATGGCGTACGTCCCCTCGACCGTCGTATGCTTATCCCAAATGACCCAATTCACTAGTTCAGAGAGGAACTTGTTGCACGTAGCGACAACGGAGACGGAGGTTGCAGAGAGAGTTTCGCGAATCCACATCGTGGAAAAGCTCATCCCTAAACCCATCACACACGACCCAGTGAGAACCCATCCCGCTACCTGTGTTATCGCCGTCTCCTGCAGGGCCTTAGATTCGCCCGAGGCTAGAAATAGGCCGAGGGCAAGCGGGATGCTCAACACGTTGATGTTGAAGGATCTCGACCAGTTGTTGAGCTTAATCTTATCAATCGTGTGCTTGGCGATCAAACCCTCCGAAACGGCGGCGACAATGAAGAGCAGACAAAATGCGTACGCGGTTCTAGACGAGAAAATGTCCAGGTTCACGTACATCACCGCCCCGAAGACGATACCCACGAGCGCGAGCAAAGACTTGGGCGTCGGAAGTGCTCTTCCCAAAAACAAGTACTCGTTGATGGAGAACGCCACCGGCGTGAGCGATTTCACGGCAATGAATGTCTCTAACGGTGCTCTTTGCATCACTTCCATGCCCGCCAGCAAGAGAGCGAAGAAGCTAATCGCGAGCGGCAAGAAAGCGACTGCGATTTCCTTTGTCAGCGGCTCCACAGTCACCAGTCCCATCCAGTGCGCAACCTTGAGCAACACCGACGTGGCGACGAACTGACAGAGCAGGATGAAATTAGCCGCCGGTATGTACGTCACCGCCACCTTATTCATCACGCTCAGCGAGCTCCCGATCAAGCAGTACAATACGATGATGCCGACCACTCGGGCGCTCTTCCACAGGTGCGTCGGCTCGCGGGAGTCGAGAGGCGAGGACAAACCCTCGCGCTCGCGCTCGAGGTCGGAGTCATCGCTCTTCTCGAGCGATATCGGGGCGTACTTCGGCGGCATCGAAGGAACGAGCCTCGATGCGTCGACTGAGGAGACTGGGCTGAATCGAGGTCTTTATGTTTAGTGTTGAGAGCTACCGGTAAGTCCAAAAAAGAGCCTCGTTCAGGTGGCACTGGAGAGAGCTCGACCTGGGAGGATGCTCGCGAAGTCGTCTCGAGCGGGACGCAGTTCTGAATGATTTCACGAGAGCGTTACAACACGCGACACCCCTCGCTTAAATCTAGTAGACTCCCACCACACTAAAACAAGACGCGAGCTATTCCCGCTAAGCGCCGTCCGGCTTAGTACATAGACGTCTTGTTCTTCTTTTGATCACCACCGATTTCGAACGTCTTGCAGCGCTTGATCGGATGCATGTGAGCTTGCTTGCACGTGGCGCACTGGAGACGAAGGACGATCTTCTTCGTCGTCTTAGCCTTCTTGTGGAACACCGGCTTGGTTTGGCCACCGTACCCAGACTGCTTGCGGTCGTAACGACGCTTCCCTGCGATTGACGAAAAGCGAGAGTTCGGTCAGTCTTCGTGTACGCCATGATTCAAATTCTCCTTCATTCTCTCTCCCTCGCGTCTCCGCGCGATCGTCTCCCCGTCGTCGTCGCTCGAAGTCAAACCATGCGATCCGTAGGGTTTTTCGCGTGCGAATCTCCCGTCGAACATCAACGTACCTTGCGCGTAGAGGCTCGCCTTGCCCGTCTTGTACTGCGTCACCTTGTGCGCGGAGTGCTTCTTGCACCCCTTGCAGAACGTCTTCTTGGATTTCGGCACCTATGCGCGCGTAAACGAGCGTTCTCCTCGTCAGTCACCGATCCTCAAGGCCCTAACGCGCGTGGTCGTGATCTCCGTCTCGACGCGCTCAAGCGACCCTTGAGTGCGCCGCGCGCGCGGTGAAGACACCCATCGCATTATCTGTTATCGCATCGTCACGTACGTTCACCATGTCTCTCCGTGCTCCGCGTCGTAAAGAGGCGGACGCGGTGGACGCGACGGAAGTGAAAACCATACACGCGAGCGAGGGCTTGGGCGGACCCAACCCTAGCTTCGACGAATCGTAACCATACCGCATATCCGAGCGCCGAAGCCGACGCTCGAGACCTCTGTCGCGCGATCGTTCGATCGACGAGAGCGCGCTGGACGTTAAATTGCATCCATCTACGGCGTCTCGAGGTGGTGAAATCGAACCGAGACCGTCATGGAGAAGCACCACAAGTTGAGAAGACCGCAGGGGTCGAGCATTCACGGATGTAACATCTGCGGCGTGGAGGGACACCAGGCGGCTTTTTGCATGAATGGGAGCGTAGATTGGGCTAATAAGTGGCCGAGGGAGTGTTTCGTGATAGAACCGCCGCAGACGACGCTGAGGAAGGAGCCAGACTTTAGGAAGATGGCGCGCGATGCGAAGGCGTATGCAAAGAAACGAATGCGCATGCTCGACCGGGAGAGGCGACGAGCGGCGGGTGAGGAGGTTTCGGAGAGCGAAGAGGAACAACCAAAGACTGAGGCGTCGGAGACCGGTGGGAAACCCGCGATCGCGGCCGGTTGGGTGATGTATCACGACAAATTGGGACGGCCGTATTACCACAACAAGTTGAGTGGAAAGACCCAGTGGACGTTACCGACGGCGTAATGACGCGTCGGTCGCAGTACTATCGAGCTGTATTCGCACCAGCGCGAACCTATCGACGTAGAAACTAACGTAGCTGCTTGTACATCTAAATGTTTTCGAGATAGTTGACTACAACATTGAACCGCTACGGGACAAGCCCGCACTAACTTCCTCATTAGAGCATTCTCTTAAGCAAATCGTGATGACTGTCGTCGAAATACTCCCCCAACTCCTCTTTCGTAACCCACGCGTGCTCGACGTAATCTCCTTGAAGCTCCAATTCACCTTCAACGTAGGAACCGCGGTAATAAAATGTCGTCACGCCCTGCTCCTCGTAGTGACCCTGAGGCGCATTACCAACCACCCAACACTCTAACGAATCTCCGGCGAAGTCCTTGAGTGATCTCTCCGCCGTCTGACGCATCGTCTCTCCATCTGTGTGCGGCGCCTTAGGAAAACCCCATGTGCCGCTTTTATCCTTGAGCACGAGGAAGAGAAACTCTGGAAGCTTGCGATACATCGTGCTCCTGTCTCCGGTGCGATCAGCCTCTGTCTCTCGCGGTGCCGCGTCAAAATCTGGTAAGTTATCTATCAAACCCTTAGCCTCCACCATCTCATCCGGGAGTTTCACCTTGAACTTGTCCCGTCTCGCCTGCGCCCACTCCAAGTACTCTCGCTCCCACGCCGGGGGTTCCGGGATCACCACGGGAATGCGCTCGACGAGCATAGATCCGTACAGCGCGCTCGCTGAGGCCGCGAACGAGGTAGTGAACGATCGAGACACGTTCTCAAGCCCACGTCCGCTCGCCGAGGTCTCGCGCGCCGGCGAAGAAAACCGCGCTGTGAACTCGCCCCCGGTCTGCGAGACATTTCGACCGAGCCCGAACGATCGAGCGCGCTTGGCGGCGCTCATGGCTCGACGAAACATGTGATCGGACGTTCAGCGCTTACCCTCGAGCGTCTCGAGCGAAGACTGCACTCGCGCGAGGCGTGCTCTGAGGAGAGTACTTCAGCCCTACTGGAAGTGCGAGCGAACGAATAATGATCTTCTACGTCTCAAGTGCTATATTTCAAGTGCTAATGGCTAATATTTTAGGCTACTTGAGCCTGTGCCTTCTCAAAGTCTGCGAACGCCTGCGGCCTTCGGGTCTTTTCGTCATCGTAAAACGTCAACGCACTATCGAAAGCGCTGAGAAGTGGTCGCAGACGCTGAGAAGTGATGTGACGGTGGACGGGAGCGAGCGAGCCTTTGAGCTTTTCAAGCGTGTCGTACAGCGTTTCGATCGATTTGCTCACTTTTGTCGCCTTTTCCCATCGCACCGATGTCACCATAGGAGTGGACATCCAGAACTGTCGCAACAGCTCTCCGCCAGTTAACGCACTTCGGGACAACTGCACATCGACACTCGAAGGAATCGGCTCGGAATCTTCAGCAGAGCTAAAGCTTTGATGCGATGCAAATTGTGCGTTCAAGTCTTCGACTTTCGCGAGTGACTTGGTGACCTCTGTCAACACCTCTGACGCCACCACCGGTTCCATGGCGCATTTGTGCCTCTTTTCAGGATGAGTCAGTGCGTTTAAAGCCGAGGTAACGGCCGCTTTGAACGGTTCGATGACCGCTTTGGAAGATTTCGAAGTCCTTTTCGCCGCCATATCATTCACTATCGATGAAAAGTACTGATGAGAATCACTAATGTTGAGCTCCTTCATGGAGGCTGGCGGTGGCGGAGCAACAAGATCGTCGATCAAATAATTCGGTTCTTCGACGCCTATTTTTGCACCCTCGGCGCTTTGTTCGTGATCTCTAGCAGCAATTGCAGCGGATCTAGCATCGACTATGTTCGCCTGCGGTTGCCCTCGGAGCACTACAGCTGCGTGATGGTTGAGTTCTGCGAACACTTCTGGCAAAGGGCCTGCCTCTTTTGGTCGTCGCGTGTCTCGCGAACCGTCCCGCAGCAACCCGTATCCGTCACCTAAGGCCTCGTCTTCTTCCGCTTTCAAGTTCAGTGTGGGCGTAATCGTTTTTATTTGCGCCTTGCGCGTGTCCGCATCGAGAGGTTTTCGCGAGAACAGAGCCAAGTCAGCAGCCTCTTCTTCCCCCTGCGGCGGTGCTCCAGCACGCATCTGCTTGAAGTACTCCGAACGCAAGAAACGCGTCCAGAATTCACGCTCGGTCATCTTTTTCGGGACGTTGTCCAAGAATGCCTGACGAACCGACGGCCTTTCTGCAAAGATTCTGTGCATTTTCTCGTTCGTCAAGTTGCACGTCACTGTATCTGACATCCCATCTCGCGCTCCCTTGAGATCGCCATCCAGGGTGTTTTCGATGCCAATCTTTTGACCGGTTGCCCTTCGAGCGACTACGTCGGTGAACAAGTTTCTCCGCGCCTCCCAAAAATCCTCATCGCTGATCACACCCGTCTTCACCGTCTCCTCGTACAGCTGCGCGATCTCCACGTTCTTCTTTAATAACTCCTTCCGCGCCGCGAGCTCGGCCGCGGTGGGCGCCCCCCTTGCCTCTTCCTCTAACTTCTTTATCTGCATCTTGATCGCATCGCTCAAAGCATCCCTATCGCTCTCGCTTGAGAACGCGAGCACGAGCGCGCGCTTGGCGTCGTTTTCCGGCACGAGCCTCAGGCTCGCCGTGGCGCTTCCCGGCTTGTTCCTCTGGTGCGCCGTCACCGCGAGTAACCTCACAACTTTCGCTCCGGTGAAGTTATCGTCGTCTAACGGCTGCCAGGAGAGCGTCGTCGCTCGCATTATCGCCTCTCCCTGCGCCTTTGCCCCGGCCACCGTGCTCGCGCACGCGCACCGGTGCAAGACGTCCTCCGACGTCGACGCCATCTCGGAGCGATCGTCCGTGAACTTTGGGATACAGTTCCTTACGCTCGCGACGTCGACTTCACGGACGAGCACGAAGGCGATCCGTGGAGTGAGGCGAGCGCGCTGAGAGAGAATCAGAATCGCTCGCTCATCGACTCGGTCACCGATTTCGTGCCATTGACGTTGATTCTTCATTCGCCTCTCGCTTCACACGTTCGCGCTGTGCGTGAACCCTCGGGCGTCGTGATGTCCGCGATCGCCGGCGGTCACGGCGCTCGATTCGCCCTCGTCGTGAGCGAGCGCGCGTCGACGTCGAAACGAGCTCGACGGACGCGTCTTTGCGCGTCGACTCGATCGACGACGCGCGTGGATGGTGGGTGGGTGAAGAACACGGCGAGCGTCGTGGCGCCGGTGCCGATTCAGGTGGCGTGGGAGCTGTGGCAAGATAGAACGAGGATTCCAAACTGGATGCCGTGGATCTCGTCGGTGTCGTACCTTCCGGAGGACAGGACGAAGACGAAATGGACGCTTTCCACGGATCAGTTCGGGCAGCACTTTGAGTTCTCGTGGCTCGCTCAGGACCTGGAGCCGGTGAAGTACGAGCGAATCTCGTGGGAGTCGCTCGAGGGACTCAAGAACAAGGGCTCGGTCAACTTCGCGAAGGATCCCGCGGGGACTCGGCTCGAGATGGAAATCAGTTATGAGGTGCCAGCGCCGCTCGTCCCGTTCGGCGCGGCAGTCTCACCGCTGGTAGAGTCCATACTGTCCACCGACCTAAGGCGCTTCTCGACGTTCTCAGAAAAGGTTGCCAAGGCTATGTCCAAGTCCAATGGACCGTAAGACGCGCAAGAAACGTCATTAGTGCCCACGGGCGAGCTTGTTATTGTACCTGTAAATATTCAGCTGACGCGTGAATTTGCGAGAACCACGGACGTGAAACGTCGACGTGCGTTGAATCCGCACGAACCGGACCCATCATTGTGCGCGTAAATTCATTCGCGCTATCGCGTCACATCGAACACGTTCCAACGCCTAGTCTCGATGTATGAGCGCGTGTTTCATTAATTAAATGCATAGAGATAATTAATTAATTTTCATTAGATATCATGACCATGATTGCATCTCGGAGTGACGCGTTGCTTCCGGAGTGCGATGCAACATACCCTGAAGTACCCGTCAATCGTCTTCGGGCCGATCGACTTCGCTCTCCAGTCGACAAAGCGGCGAATATTTCATCGCGTAGCACGAAATAATTCATGATGTCCTACTAATTAATTACAACTCATTGTGACTGCCATCGCACCCCCGATTTTCGGGGTGTCGAAGATATTGCACGTTCGGTCACGCAGAACGTCCGTCGCTAATCCACTTGTTGGACGAGAATCGCTCTCTAACGCGCATGAAAAATAAATTGTAATTAATTTGAGGTCATTCGATAAATAAAAGAAAAGTGAAAGCGCACGACTGCGCCTGTGCCTGTTGAACTTTATTTTTTCCGCTCAACGTGTGAGTATGACTCATACACGCGCGATTTCCTGGACGTCGCGTTGTATGACGTGCGTTCGCGGCTCTGTGAGCCTTCGCCGACGTGGGCTCATGGAGTTTATTTTTCGAGAGCGAATAATTAATTGATGATATTGAGCGTTTGGCTTACGTCCAAGGCATGATTCGACTTGAAACGCTCATCCGCACCGATGTCAATATCGAGCGATACGATTCATCGCTCGGCGCGTCGCTCATCCCTCGATAGCTATGTTTTCAACAATTCAATTATCAACGTTGTGCTATTTTATTTCTATTTGTCATCTGACGCGAACGGGTTCTCCTCAGTACTAATGTCGTTCGCAGACGCGGTAGTGCGATCGCTTGGGAACATGAATTTATTCTTCTTATCGTCGTGCCCGTATTCATCGAAGAAGTTGGAGAGAAGTTCGTGCGGACTCGACCTGAGTTCCGTCGCCTTTGCGCGAAGCGCCGAGCACTTGCTGTGCAGCTCAGTGGTCGGCTTTGGTATGGGAAATCCGATGGCACACTTGACTCCGCGCGCGTCTTCGGGGCCACAAAACCATGACTCGGCTTTGAGCGCGACTGCCATGTCAGAATTGAACTGTTTCGCCGCAGGAGAGGAAGTTGCACTCTCGAAGGCACAGAACGAAGTCAGCGCTCCATCGACCACCAGTACCCTCTCTGGGGCACTGGCTAAAGTTGAGAGCACATCCGTGTCCATCGCGAACGCAGGAAGCGCGTATTTTGCCTTGACATCTCCTGAGTCCCGGTTCCCCGTTGAGACCGCGGCGATACTACGTCTAAGAGCGTCTGGCGTTCTCAAATTGCTCAGGAAAGACCACTCTCGAAAATCCACCCCACCGTTCTCCATGGCGGGCAAGTTCATGATATGATCCTGCGGACATCCCACGAATGGAGGTTCGACGTGACCTATCTTACACGACGGTAGCACGTGACCCCAGTATCGATCGCACATGCACGTGAATCGAGGTAGAATGACGGTGCGATTAAGGATACGTCCGAGAGCCAGAAGGTTGCGCACCGAGGCGCGGTACCACGCCGCGGTCAGGAGATGATTGTGCACGCCAGTGATGTTCCAAATACTCGGCAGATCGTCCGACATGGAAATAAAGTTTCCTTGCGTGTAGTAATCGTCGTTCTCTATGAGCCATAACCCGTGCTCACGAAATCTCTGACGTTTGCCGTGCACTTGAGAGAACTGAAACGTGGCGTGCACACAAAACGGCTGTTGGCTCTCTCCCTCGTGCTTGTGCAATTGCTCTACAAAAAACGTATGACCGGAGGCAAAATACCGCATAGGCAAAGATCCTAATCGAACACCACCCTTCACCACCCTCACGTTGACGCTCGAACCTCCTTCTGTCACCTTTGTGTCCCCCGACGCGTCGGCGACGAGCAAGTTGTTGAAAATTTCCTGGTCTCTCTCGGTCATATCGTCCGTCGCTTTATCCATGGCGGCGATCCAATTTCCTAAAAACGTCTTCGCCGCGTCCGTTGGTCTGAAGTAAAGAATTCCTGTGTTCGCTGCCGCGCCCCAACACCCGCCCACGTCGTCCGCGCTGACGTCCAGACAATCCGTGCTCGCCGCCACATCCACGTCTCGCAAAGCTGTTCGCACCCAATCCTCGGGGTCTCTAAGCCACGCCACGTCGGCATCGCTCACCAACACATCGTGTCCACGCTCGAGAATGTCGACCAAGAGCTTGACCTCGAGCGTCTTGATGTCTCGAAGCGCTTTCGCCGCCTCCGCCACGCTCGAGGCCTCGCGCTGCGCCGATTCGCGATGCAGCGCCGTCCCCGCCGTCGCCATCACCCCCCCACTGTACCTCAACTCCGCGCTCCCGAAGCACGGCATCGAATATTTCTCGCAGTACCTCTCCGTGCTCTCATCCAGGGCGAGCATGACGACGTTCAATCCGTCGTTCGTCCTCTTCGATCGACTCCTTCGTAACAGTCGCAACCAATTGCGCGCGAACTGATGAAACCCATCGCTCACGTACGTGACGTACACCACCCCCCCCTTTCGATCGAGCATGCGATCGAGCGCGCACTCGCTCGGCTCCGCCCCACCCGTCGTCGTCGTCCCCCCCGCCTCCCGCCCGCGGTCGTCCAACGTCGCCCACCCCACGTCGCGTCCGCGCCGTCGTCCTCGAGCGCCGCCCCACGCCAGGACGACCGCGAGGCCGACGACGACGCCGACGACGCCGCGACGTCGACGCCACCGCGTCGGTCGTCCCATCGTCCGCGTCGGCGTCGCGACCGACCCACCGGACCTCGGCGTCGCGAACGACCGCCGTGGACGTCCGCGTCGGCGTCGTCCACGCCACGACTCGAACGACGTCGAGACGCGATCGATCACGGGCGTCGATCGATGATTCGATCGGTGATTCGATCGGGGCGTCGATCGGTGCGTCGATCGATGATGCGTCGATCGAGGCGTCGATCGATCGATGATTCGATCGGTGATTCTTCGATGCTGCGTCGATCGATGATTCGATCGAGGCGTCGATCGGTGTCCCACACCCCTCGAGTCATGACCGGTGGGTACACGTCACGGCGACGCCTCGCGATCGCGATCTAGGTTGGGTAAATCACCTTCAATGGGTGGTGATGGTGATTTCAAATCACCTTAAGGTGATTTAGAAGGTGATTTCATATTGAGTGTATGTAAAGCCTATCATTTGCTGGTATTGACACTGATAGTAATCACGTGACTGATAATACGACATTTCGTCACCGGTTTCGAGGAAATACAGCGATGATAAGTACATTGTGTCACTGTTCTAACCCTAGCACCCCCCTCGAAGAGAGCCGCCGCCTGCTTGAAATTGGATTTTGACTAAAATCTCGGTAATGGTTGTGCACACCTTTTGTTGTCATAATCCGTCATGTCATGTATGAGTAAACAGTATGAGGGGGTACTCCCATTACTCCCGACTCGGGAGTCCCGAGCCGCTGCCTGCTCTTGAGAAGTTCGCGCGTCAAAATCAAGTCTCTTGGAGAGGCCGACGGTCGACCAGCCCCGGTCAACGGTCCATCAGCCCCGACCGATGCTACCTCTACTCAACTCGTTCGCGAAGGCGCCGATCGCTGCAAGCTATGCGTGAGTCGCGGCGACGAGAAGTGCGCGCACGCGCGTAAGACCGAGCGTTCGGACGACCGCGTGACGCGCGCGAGCAAGCGTTCTCGGCGAGATGCACCCAATTGAGTATTATACCGCTATTTAGTCTATCATGTAATTTTTTTATGTAAATTCGGACAATCGGACAATTTCCTCCAAGGTCAAATCACCTTCCATGGGTGGTGAAGGTGATTCAAATCACCTTGTTTCGGACGGTGATGCACAAGGTGATTCAGATTTTACCCAACCTAGATCGCGATCGCGCCTCGGTCGTCGCGCGTGCGATACGGAGCGCGTGTGACATCGCGCGCGACCGAGACGGCACGGCGCGACGGACGACTTCGGGCGACGCGAGATGCTCGCGCGCGCGGTGTCGCGATCGAGCGCGCGCTTGGGGGTGGATGGGCGACGCGCACGGACGGGGCGATCGCGCGCGGGGGGACGGGGACGGATGGCGAGCGCCGGGACCGGGAACGCTCGAGCGAAGACGGCGGTCGTGGTCGAGGATGGGGAGGTGAAGACGTCGACGTGGTTGAGGATGAAATCAGTCGCCGCGCTCGCGGGCGTCGTGGGGACGACGGCGATCCAGGTGGCGTTCCCGGAGCGCGCGAGCGCGTTATCCATCAGAGACCCGGTGTTCGGCGACATCGAGGTGTGGCAGTTCTTGGTGCTCACCGCGGGATACTTCATCGGGATCGAGTTCTACCTCGATAACAAGTACGACGAGACGAAGCAACCCATCATGCCGAGCGTGCAAAAGAAGAAGGAGGAGACGGAGGAAGAAAAAGCGGAGTGAACGTCCCGCGCTTAAGAAACGCATGTAGTGAAGAAGTTGTTTAACACAAAAGGGAGGCTAACCTCTCGCGAACGGATTGGTGACGACCTTGGACTTTTTAGCTTTGGATGGTGTTGGCGTACCGTCGAAATCGCGCTTCCCTTCTCCCACGCCGAGCTCATTCACGTCCTTGTTCTCGTTTCCTTCGTCGACCGCGGGTACCGAAGCATTCTTGCGCGTGAGCGGATTCGTCTTTGCCACCGTCGAGGGCGTCGAACGGACCGCAGGTGCTGGCGTATAGCTCTCAGGCTGGGTGTAACCTTGCGTCGGCTCCGGATCGACGGCAGTCTCGATGAGCTCGTGAATTCTCTCAACGAGCGCAGGTTGTCGAGACACCGCTGGGAGCTTGAGGACAGCGCGCAAACTGTTCGGTTGTCTGAACGTCTCCGCGATGTCCGAGGCGCGACTGAGCTTCTGACTCTTACACGCCGCGTGGAAGAGCTTGATTGCAGCCTTTTCACTCGCCCCCATAGCGAGTCGAGCATCTTCACCCGAGCTCTGTGCGACCATCAGTGCAAAGTTCGCCCGCGCAGCCTCATCCTCGAGATCCGTAACCGACTGTTCGGGAGTGATGATGGGCACGGACAGAGGTAACATGGAGAGAACCGGTCGCGGGCTCGGCGTCGGTCCAGCACTTGTTCTTGTGATGATGCAGAATAGCGTCGAGGCGGACGCGGAAACGATCCAGTGATGCTGACCATCCGTGGCTCGCGCGGCGGAAGAGCGGAAGACGGGAGTGAATGATCCACCAAAAGCCTCCGTTCGCATTCGCACAACGCCAGCACTGTCACAAATGAGGAGCATTCCCTCTTCGGAGAATCCCATATACGTCAACTTGGCTTGGTGAGACAGTGGAAGTCGACCGCGAGCGAGTTGAGTGGCATGGCGCATGTTGTACACGGCGTACGCAAGGACTTGGTCTCCCGGAGCCGGTCCGATCGGCGCAGCCTCGTGCCAGACGACCCCCAAAGAATCATCATGACCCGCGATGGATACGACGTCGCCCTCAAGAGAGATAACTTGTCGCTGAGCCCCGCCTAAGGAGTAGACTCGCAGGTAGCGCTTCGACGTCGCTGCAGCGACCCAGGACGAGCCAGTAGCGATGCAGAGGATGTCCTCACCAGGCGGCATGGTCATTTGCCACTCGCTGTTTTGCACCCAGCTGTCATAAGGATGGAAATAAAGAGTACTTTCTTGTTCTGTGTCCTTCATTGGACTCGCAAGCGCGCAACCCTTCTCTCCCGCCACGCCCAACGTGTACCCGTACGTATCTGTGATGACCGGAATGCGTCCCAAGCGAGAAGTGTCGTGGAAATGGAACTCGATCGAGCTGAACTCTCCCTCCGTTGTAGCCACAAGAGAGCCAGTCATGGTGTACGACAAAAATCTTCGGTTACTTCCCGGAACTGCGGCGACGGATCCGGGTTGGAACGCCGGTTGCGGCTTCGGCCCGGCTTCAACGTGGACCACCTTCTCTCTGTAATGAGACTTGCCGGTGTCGTACTCCACAAAACCATCGTCATCGTCCTCTTCTTCTTCGGCATTATCTTCCATGTCGTCTACTTCATCGTCGATGAACTCGCTCTTCGCCACTAATTCGCTCTTGAAGTCGATCTCCGACAGCGCAACGCTCGCTGTCGGCGACGTGTACTTGGATGGCACGACTTCGTCCCACATCGCCCACTCGCCGTTCCCCTTAATCAACGCCATGGAGTTTCCGGTGGTGCTGAAAGCGGCGCCACACACGAGCTCCGACGTGTCCGTAATCTTCGCGATCGCAAGCTTTTTCTTAACGTCCCAACAGATGACTGTTTTGTCGTCGCTCGCGGTGACCAAGTATTTCCCATTCGGAGACCATCTGATGAGAGAAATCGCCTCGGTGTGACCCTTCATTTCCCACTCGATCTGCTTGAATGTCTCTCGTTCGAAAAACGTCACGTCGTTCTCCCGCCCCGGCACGGCCAAGACTGCGCCGTCCGGTCTCCACGCCACGGAGTTCAAAAGTGGCGACTCGCCCGTGGCCACCGGCGCCTCTGTGGCGAATAGTATCGCGTCTCCCACCTCCTCGTTCTCGTCCCGGGGCTTCAGTACCCAGACGAAGACCGTTCCGTTATCGTCTGAACCCGCCAAAAACTCTCCTCGTGGATCGAACGAAAGGCTCTTGATGCACTTGCTCCTCGGACACTCAATCGTGCACTTGACGGTTTTGTCCTCGGCGTCAATCACCTTGACGACACCATCCTCGCCCCCAGCCGCGATATACTTCCCATCACCGCTCCACGCCACCGCATGCACGGGCAAGGTAAATCTCGTGACGTTCCCCTCGAACTGTCCCTTATCGATGCTAAAAATCTTCACGCAATAATCCGCGCTCGCCGTCGCCACGCGCTTCCCGTTCGGCGCCGTCGCGAGCGCGTGCACCGCGTCTCCGTGTTCACCAAAGTTATGCTCCACCTCCGACGTGCGCTTATCCCTGACTATCACCGAGTGATCGGTCCCGCACGTGACGATCTTCTCCAGATCGTTCCCATCGATCGCGAACGCGACGTCGCACGCCCCCGCGACGTGGGCGTACTCCCACTCGCACGAAGTCATCCACTCGAGTCACGCGTTCGATCGCTCCCGTCGCCGTCGTTCGTCCCCGAGCGCGATCGAGCGCACGCGATCGAGCACGCGATCGATCGACGCGCGCGCGCCGTCGTCCGTCGTCGCGCGCGCGCTCGAGGTGGTCGCGCCCTGGGCGAGACATTTAAAAAGTTTAAAAAAACAGCCATCGCCGCGCCCGTCGCCGCGCGATCGACGCCTGCGGCTGGTGTACATACTCTGGGTGTGTTTCACCCATCACTGTATCGATATCGTCCGACCCCCCCATCACACGAGGCACGACCCGTCGTGGACGACGACGTGGTCACGCGAATCCATCACACGGGGCTATGTGATTGTCAATACGTGTGCACCACCCACGCCGTGGACGCCGGCGTCGCGCGCGCGCGAATCCGACGCACGGCGAGACGACGACGCGCGCGCGCGGACGGACGTTCGGTGACGGACGACGCGTCGATCGATGGGTGGGATCCCGCTCGACGCGCTCGCGGGGGGGCGCGCGCGGGCGACGCCGGCGAGGGGAGGACGACGGGTGAACGATGCGCGAGGGGAACGACGAGGTGGACATCGCGAGCGACGGGCGGTGCGCGTTCGCGCGTCCTCGGCGGCGTCGAGCGCGCTGCGAGCGCTTCTGGCGCGCGCGAAGGAGAATGCGTCGGGTGGGGAGGTCGCGGTGCAGTCGGTGGCGGAAGCGCGAGCGCTGATCGAACGCGCGCGAAGTGAACGGAGACGGAGAGAGGCGACGGCGCCGACGAGCGCGCGGTTAGCCGCGTTGGAGTCAGAGGCGGATGCGTTGAGGTCTGAGGTGCGGCGATTGAAGGATGAGAACCGGGAGGCGATTGATGCGCTGCTGAGTGAGGCGGCGGAACTGGCGGAGCAAACGGCGCGCGTGGAGGAGGTCGAGGGCGAGCTCGAGGAGGCCACGCAATTGAACAGGCGTTTGGTGAGCGCGGCGCAAGAGCTCGCCGAGCTCGTGGACGAGAGCGCGACGGAGGCGCTCGAGAACGAGCTCGCGATGAAGGATGCCGAGATTGTTTCTCTCAAGGCGAGCGTACGCGAACTCGAGCACAAGCTCGAGGATCGGGACGCGCTCCTGGAGACGATTCGCAGCTTGGAGATAGAGCTCGCCGAGAGCGTCACGAGCGCCGAGCTCAAGGAGTTGGCTGATGGAAAGATGGATTCCCCGGAATTGATCTCGGCCTTGGAGGCGGAGAACAAGGAGATGCGAGAGCGCATCAACGCTTTGCTCGCCGAAGGGGATAAACTCCCAGCGGTGGCGAAGAAGTACGAGGCGGCGGCGCTCGAGGTTGTTTCGCTCAAGTCTCGCATTCGTCTTCTCGAGGTGCGAATGGCGGACATGGTCGATCAAGAAGAACTCAGTGAAATGTTGGAGCAAGAGAGAAGGAAGAGTACTGAGCTTGTCGCCCAGAAGGACTCCTTGTTGAAGCGCATACGCGAGTTGGAGGTGGCGATGTCCGACATGGAAGAGGGAGACGCCTACCTCAAGGCGAAGAAAGAAGCCGAGGCGGCAAAATTGCGCAGCATGGATCTCTCCACGCTCGTCGATTCTCTCACCTCGAAGCTCGCAGAGCAGACGGACGAGGCGAGTAGAGCTAAAACCGCGACGGACGACGCGCTCGCGAACGTTCGCGCGCTTGAATCGGACATGGCGTACATGGACTATGCACCAGGCATCGAGAGCGCTATGAAGGCGGCAAAGCAAATGGAACGCGCCGCGGAGCGCGCCGTGGAGCTCGCGGCGGGTCTTCAACAGCTCGAAGTCGGGATGAAGAAGAAGAGCAGCGGTCGAAAAGTGCCGTTCAAGCGCGAAGACTCGTTTACGTTGCGTAAATTGAACTTCAGCAACGCCAAACTGCAAGAGCCAGCGATTGCCTTCAAGCGCTCCCCCAGCGACACCTTTGCACTTCGAAAGTTTGACTTCACGAAAATCAAGACGGAGGCCGAGGCGAGCAGTGCAAGCAAAACGCCTTTCAAGCGCTCTCCAGCCGATGCATTCAAGCTGCGCAAGATGACGTTCCCATTCTCCTCGCGCACCGCCTCCGTGCCGAAGAGCGTGTTCCAGCGCACGGGCAACTTTGAGTTGCGACGATTCATCTTCACCTCCGATCCGGTCGACGTCGTTGCGTCCGCTGCGTTCGAGCGTAACGGTGAGTTTACACTCAGACGCCTCAAGTTCCCTCCGCCGCAGCGAACCGGCGCAGCGATCTCCACCTGGGATAGAGGAGACAAGGGGACAGTTTTCAAATTCTAACCGCGTCGCGTCGAAGGTTCGCGCGCCCAACTTTAATCATTCGATGTAAAATGTACCCACTCCAAACCGACGCAATCGATCTGTCGTGTATCGTTTTTCCATTCGTGTCGTCTCTCTCACGTTCTTTCCCTCGTGCCCCGTTCACGCACGCCGCGAAGACATCCTTAAACCCTGGCCTGCGCGCGCGCGCGCGCTCGCGCGCGGGCAATCCAAGCGTTTCACTCATCATCATATCATCATCACGTCCGTCTCCACACCTCCCCCCGTCGTCGCCCTCCCTGACTCTCTCGCGCGCGTCGACAGAACGATTGTCGAACGACGATGAATCGCGCGTTCGAGCGCGTGAAACCCGGTGAGGACCCCCCGCCGCCGCCGCCCGAGCTCATTCAGTGGGCCAGAGAGACCGTGTATGGGTCGCTCGCCGGCGTCGTCTACGGTGCCTGGAGCGCACACCGAGCGGAGATGGCGTCGGCACCGAACCCGAATGAAGCTCTGAACGTTCGTAGGCACAGGATCTGGACCCGAGCGATCTCGGACACGACTTTGCACGGCGTTCGGCTGGGGAGTTTCGTGTCGGTGTTCAGCGCGACGCGGCTGGCGCTCGAGTCGACGCGAGAGATTAGAGACATGTGGAACGTCGTCGGAGCGGGGGTGGTGACGAGTTCGCTGACGGGTATGGCGATTCCGGGGCCGCTGTCGGTCAGACTAAGAGGGGCGGCTCTGGGAGTGGCCGTCGGCGGCGCCGCCACGCTTCCGCTCGGGTACTGTTTGCAAGAGTTGGAGAGACTCTTACCGGAGCACTTTGAGGCGATCACGACGACCGGGACGGCGTCGAAAGAGGAGGATTCTAGCGAGAAAGTAGACTTGACAGAGATGTTCATAGGACAGGTAGAGGCGGAGTTAGAGGAGTACAAGAAAGAGGAGCGGCGACGGCGACGGAGCTGGTTCTCTAAGTAAGCGGACGGCAACTGTATATTATCAACACTTTGCTAGTATAGCTATAGGTATGTAAGTACGGTAGTGAGCGGATATCCTACCTCAAAATGACCCCAGGGGACCAGGGTAATTTATCTTTGAACAAGCGCTGGGAGCACGTGTTTATGTGCAGCCAAAGCGCGCTCAATACCTTGACTTGCGTGCTGTACGGAGCGCCGACGTTGAATGGATCGCGCTGGAGACGCTTTGCAGCTAGGTCTCCACGACACCCGTACGGATCCTGAGCGTACGCGGCTCTGAGTCTTACCTCACCCGCCTTCATCTCCGCTTCATTAACCGCCGTCGTGCCTATGTACGAGAAGTTTCCGGATGGAAATCCCAGAGCTTGGAGGTGCTGCGAGAATCGCTCGCTCTTCACCTGATACCCCACCACCGTGATCTTCTTCGGGAACTGTCTCGAGATCTCGAAGAAACGACACATGCTGAAGAGAAGATTCTCCAAGCTATCTCGCGCGTACTCTTCCGTGAACGTTCTGCGCTCGACGCTCGCATCGGCTCCAAACCACTCGAACGCTCGGGCCACTTGCCAGTACGACGCCGCCTCGCTCAGAGACCCAGCCTCTCGACTCGTCTTCCCACCACTAAAAATTAACATCGACCGCTGATTCTTCGCCGCCGCCTTCACGCCGATCTCCATGTGTTCTAAGAACGTCCGCGCCTCGCCCTGGACGAGCTGATACGCCCCGAGCGCCCAACTCGTCTCCTCCTTGGCGGCTGAGAAATCCCTCCCCGAGTACACCGCGCTTCCCGGAACGATGATCAACTCCTCCACCTCCTCCATCCCCATCACGCTCGGTATCGCCCGTTCCAGCACGCTCCTTCGCATCACCGGCGTCACGCCCACCGCGCCCGGCGCCGTCCCTCCCCGTCCGCGTCCGCCCGCGATCGCCCATCGACCCGCGACGACGCACGCGGTGAGCGCCAACCACACCGCGCGATCGTTCGCTCGCCCCCACGCCCGGATCCCCTCGAGCGCACCACTCGGTCGTCGTCGCCATCGTCGCTCCTTCGCTTGCCCCCCCCCGTCGTCGTCCGCTCGCCATCCATCGCTCGAGCGACCGCGTCGACCGTCCACCGGGCGTCGCCACGTCCCCGTGTTTTCGCTCGCGAGTTCGCAGTCGACGCTCGTCCCGACGTCACCGAACCTGTACGCCGCGAACGCGCCATCGCGCGCGCGCGTTCCCATCGCCCGCGCCCGCGTCCGTCGTCGTCGTCGTCGTCGTCGTCGTCGACGTCGTCGTCGTCGTCGTCGTCGCGCGCACAGGTTTTTTATTTTAAATACACCGCAGCGCACGTCAACCCTATTCGCACGGAGCACGTCAACCCTAACACGCGACCCACTGATCGATAGGCGGGCCCTTTGAAGATGGGAAAGAGCCGAGCGTTTCCATCAACCACCCCCGCGGGGTCCCCGGCGCGCGTCGTCGTCGTCGTCGTCGCCTCATCGCAGATCCTCGAGCTCGCGCTCGAACGCCCACGACTCGGGCTCGGCCTCAGGTGGGTACAGCGCGCGCTTGAGCTTCAACAGCGGCGGGACGGAGAATAAAACGATGGACAACCCGAACATGAAGACGTAGACTTGATTCTCTGGCGCGAAATTCAACCGTGGGGTCGTCCCGAGGAGTTTCCGTCCCACGCCGTCGTCTCGCGCGGTCGTCCACGCGCTTTCGATCATGGACATCTCGTCCGCGCGCGTACCGTCGTTCGAGCGCGCATCGACGCGCGCGAGCGACGCGTCGTGATGGCCGTCCCGATGTCGCGCACGGTCGACCTGTCGACGTGTGGGGTGTCACACACACCCGGGTGTGCGTGTCATACACACCCGGGTGTGTGTGCCGCGAAGTCAACGACCGCGTCGACGCCGCCGACGCCCGCGGGCGACGCACGACCCCGCGTCGTGGTCTCGGGCGATCGCGCGGGACCTACGATGTCGTCCCCGACCGCCCCGGTCCCGCGCGTGGAGACCGCGTCGACGATCGGGACGTGCGATGTGAGTAACGTGGCGTGCGTGAACACGGATGTGGCGGATGCGGAAGTCTTGAGCGCGTTCGCGGTGTACGTCGCGCTGTCGTCCCTGGTGTTGGTGCTCTTCGGTGCGCTGCGAGATAAAGTGCCGATATACACCGGGCGAACGCTGCTGCGGTCGTTACGGAGCTCGGGAAGCGCGCCGGAGATGCGGCGGATGGACGGCGCGCGCGGCGGCGGCGCGCCGGCGTCTTGCGCCGAACGTTCGGATGGATCACGAGCGTGCTCGCGATCAGCGATGAGGAGGTGGTGAACACCGCGGGATTAGATGCGTTGGTGTTTTTGAGAATCACGCAGTTCGGCACGCAGTTGTTCGCGCCGATGGCGGTGATCGGGGCGTTCGCGCTCGTGCCGGCGCACCTGTCGCGGTCGTTTTACACGTCGACGCTCACGACGAGCGGGGCGGGGGGGAAGCTGGACGACGAGAAGCATGTATTGATGCGAATGACGATCGCAAACTTAGAGAAGAGGTCTGAACTCGCGTGGTTGCACGTGTGCGTGTTCTGGGTGTTCACGGCGTACACGCTGTGGCTGCTCGATCGACACTATCAATCGTATGAATTCTTGCGACAAGTGTACGGCACGACGACGGGCGAGAGTAATCCGTGGCGAGCCGTGCACATTCCCCAGACCGTGTTTCAGAAGCTCCTACGGCAAGGGATGGACACGAATCTCGAGTTCGCGACCGAGATGAGTCGCGACGCGCATACGACGACGACGACATCCACCGAGACGGGATCGAGAGCGCCGCCGTCGCGGCCTAGACGCACCAGCGTGATCGGTATGCCGAGCTTCATGCGTCGAGTGATGGATGATCGCGCCAGTAACAATGCTCGCGCGAAAGCTAACACGTCTCAAGACGTCACGCATCTCCAAGCATCCGGAGAGGAAGGGAGGATCGACGACATCGATTGGCACGTCTTATTGGAGGTCCTCAGCGGTCCGAGTCGTGATACGGCCAGTGTGCGAGAGCTGTCAAACGAACAAAAAGTAGAACGATTTAGGAGAGCGTCTGTGAGCTCCAGCATGCGTGCACCGCAGGCGCAGCCATCGAGAGGATATCACTCTCACCTCGGCCCGCTGACGTCTGCCATCTCAGCGCCGTCGCAGCAGTTGACGAGTCTCGCCGAAGATGCGACTTCGTCGCGTCGATCGACGGGGATCGATCGTCAATTATCGATGCCTGGGAGTTCCCGTGACATTGGGGACTCGCCCCGCTCTATGTCGGAGATTTCGATGGCGAGTATGAACGACTCTGATCCCGGTCCTTCGTCGCTGAGAGGTGATTTTGCCGGCGCTTCAACAATGCAAAACATCGATAATGTTGCCATCGATGATGTTGCGATCAAGCATAAGTGGTGGAAAGGATTAGATATAGCAGAAGAGGTATGGGGCGAAGAATTGAAGACGATGATGGCCAGAAATCGTCGAGACAACGTCGATTCAAGCGAGACTATGAATCGACCAAACAGAATCGATATCGCGGCAGACTTGGAGAGTGGAAAAGACGGTAACGATTCGTACGAACACGACCCAGCGCCGGTACCTTCCATAGATGATCGACGTTATATCGCTGCAATCGCACTAGAGGAAGAAGATGGTGTCAAGAGGGAAGTCATCGTGAGTGTTCTGATTCAAAACTATTGCGTGTTGATGACAGACGTCGGTGGTGGACGAGAGAGTGCAGATTCGTGGCAGGATATCCGAGGGATAGAAAAATTCTTCAAGGGGATGTTCCCAGATGAGTTCCTTATGGTAATCCCTTTACAAGACTATCGCGTCGTGGATGACCTACTGATGGAGCACGACAGACTTGTGAACCAAATAGAGAAACTCGGCATGCCAAGAGTTCAGCATCGTCGGCGGCGACGAGGACTATCCGTCATAGATGAGATTAATTCTCTGCGTAAGAGGCTCGCTACAATCGAGCATCTAGTTGTACGCGAGCGCTCCAATATACGATCCGCGAAACCCGGACCAAGCTGCATCGTGGCTTTCAAGAGTCAATACGCCACTGCGATCGCTGCACAGTGTCGCATCACATCGCGCCAGCGCGATCTCTTCAGCATACAACCAGCCCCTGGGCCTGACAACATTAACTGGCAATCAGTATTGCTTCGAAGACATGAGCGTAAATTCCGCGCGGTGGTCATATTTCCACTGATTCTCGCCGTCATCCTGATCCCAACCGGCATGTTTGCGGGAATTCTTTCGAGCTTGTGTGTTGCAAACCAGTTCGGCGCCAAACAGAGTAGCAATCTAAATTGGTACTGTACGAACGATTCAGCAAAGTATCTGCGTGTTGTCGTTCAAGGGATTCTACCTCCGATACTACTGACCGTTTGGGAGACGTTTGTCGTGTCGTTCGGGATGATGTATCTTGTGCAAGCGCAGAGCAAGTACTCGAGTCTGAGTAGAACCGACGAGTCGTTCGCGAAATACTACTTCCTGTGGGCCTTCCTGAACGTTTTCTTTGGAACAGTGTCTGGATTTGCGATACAACGATACGTGCACGCACTCAATACGGAGGGAGTCGACGCCATGTTTGAACTCGTTGGGACATCATTGCCGCTCACGAGCAACTTTTTCTTGCTCTGGCTCGTGTTCAGAGGAGTATATCTTCCGACGCAGCGTTTAATATTTCCTCACGCAGGCGTCTTGTGCATGATCATCAATCGTTGGTGTTGCTGCTTGGGATGCAGTGTCACCTCGCGAGACCGGGCAATCAAGTACTCGCCGAGGTCTATACGACTTGGTCGCGAGGTTGGCGTGTTTGCCATGGTCATGATGATCGGTCTTGTGTTCTCCACTGTCGCCCCTATCATCACCGTGGTAGCCACATTCTTTTACGTCTTCAATTTCATCATCTGGAGATACCACGTCATGTTCGTGTATGAGCGTTCGTACGAGTCGGGAGGGATGATGTGGAACACGTTTTGCACGTTGACGATTTACTCTTTGATGATAGCTCAGTTCTTCCTCAGCTTTGTGCTTCTATCAAAGGAAGCGTACGCGGCCGCACTGGCTCTCTGGATCACCATCTTACCCGTGCTCAGTAGGTCGATGTACAAGTTTCGAAATCTCGCCACGGAGCTCAGATGGTCCGTTCCATTGCCGCTGGCGGCGTCAGCCCCGAAGGCTGCCTTCAACGCTGAGGCGTACATCCATCCCGCGCTTCAGCGCAACTCGATGGGTTGGCATCCGGAATTTGGAAAAGTCTGGCGAGGCTATCCCAACGTCACCGTGAAGGAAACGAGAATATTTCGTAGATAGATTGACACACGACTGTAACAAATTTCTCGCTCGCAAACGCCGACGACCGTGGGGTTGACGCCTCACAGCGCGGCTCGCCGAAGCCGTCGAAAATCTCCCCTCGAGCGCATGAAGACGAGTCCACGAAGTCTGTGACGTGAAGGATGACGATGAGCGCGTCTCTCGCGCGGTCCTTCGCCCGCACGCGCTCGGACGCGTCTCCATTGTCGTTAACGAGCTCGAGGAAACGAATCACACCATTGCGACCGAAACGCGCGTTCGAGGGCGTCTCTCTCGCGTTTGAGCGCTCAGGAGGATGCAGAAGAGTATCATCGCCTTTCGCGTCGAGAACATTGCGAACGCGAGCGGTAGCGAGCGGTGGATACGGGGAAGTTGAGAGCGAACCGAGCGAGCCGTCGACGTCCGGCACGACGTGGTTCGAGAGGTTTCTCAAGCTACCGAGCGATGGGAGCGCGATTTGGGACGCGCCTTGGGGGGTGAAGACGACGGTTTCCGTCATGGTGGTCTGGTTTTGCTTATTTTTCATCGTCGGAAACGCGGTGTTTCCCTTCGTCGCCGGCGCGCTCGGGTTCGATTCAACAAACTTCACTCAGCGAGGCCTGGCCGTGTATAGTTTTTGCTTAGACATCGCGCAGATGTTCATGACGGGTTTTGTGCTGCGGCAGTCACTGAGGGCGTTCACCCCGCTCGGGGCGAGCTGGTTTCCCGTTCGCTGGTTCGAGGACAAGAAGCACGTGCGAGACGTCCTCCTGGCGTGCGCGGCGTTTCCAATCGTCGTGTGGTTGCACGGCATCAGCGTCACCGCGCTCGAGACCACGGGACTATTGGTATTCGACGACGCCATCACTACGGGTTGGGAGCAGAGCATGCGATCGGACGACCTCCTCTCCAAGGCGTTTTACGTCTTGTTGGCCTCCGTGGCGGCGCCCGTGTGGGAGGAACTCATCTTTCGAGGCTTCTTCTTCTCCGCCCTCTCCGCGGTGATCTCCGTCAAGCGCGCCATGATCATCTCCTCCGTCGTCTTCGCCGTCGCCCACCTGTCCCTGGAGCAGTTCCTCCCTCTCACCTTTCTCGGCTGTCTTCACTGCGTCGTATTCGTCCGGACGAGAAACCTCCTCGCCCCGGCGTTGGTGCACAGCGCGTGGAACGCCTCGGTCCTCGCCGGTGACTTCCTCCCACCCCTCACCGACGTGCTTCGCGCCGTGTTCTCCGCGCCGTTACCCTGAGATTGCTTGTATCATCATCCGACGCGTCCTCGCGGCTCGTTCCGAAACCGCGCCCTCCGGGAGTGCTGACTCCTCGCCCACGCACACGCGATGACCTCACTTTGTGACGCGTCTTCGCGCGCGCTCGCACTCGCGCACCGTTCACGCGCGCGACCGTTCACACGCGCGAACGCACGACCGCGGCGCGCGGACGACGACGGTGAAGATCTTCGCTCGGACGCCGTCGAACGGGCACGCGCGATGGACCGCTCATTCATAGGTTCAACCATTTACCTCATCTCGCACTCAGACATTCGTTACGAGGGCGTCCTGGTGAACATCGACCCGGTGGAGAGCACGCTGACGTTACAAAATGGTGCGTCGTTCGATCGAGCGAAGATGGGGAGGGAGAGATGCGACGAGGGGGTGGGATGGGGGACGAATGGCGAGCGATTCGGCGAGATCGCGATCGCGCGCGGAGGGCGAGAGACTGACGAAAATATCGTTCGTGGCGTAGTGCGATCGTTCGGGACGGAGGGACGACGAACGAATGGAGTGCAGATTCCGCCAAGCGTGGAAGTGTACGAGTGCATCACGTTTAAGGGGGATGACATCAAGGATTTGGAGATTCGCGAGGGCGGCGGCGGGGCGGCGAGAGCGGCGGCGGCGGCTCCGACTCCGGCTCCGGAGCAGCCGCAGTACGGGTACGCGCAGCCGCAGTACGGATACGCGGGATACCCGCCGCAGCAGTACGGATACGCGGGGTATCCGCCGCAGCAATACGGTATGCCGCAGCCAGGATACGCGGGTTACCCTCCGCAGCAGTACGGTATGCCGCCGCAGCAATACGGCGCGCCCGCTTGGGGACAGCAAGCTCCCGAGCAGCCGGCAGCCCCGCCCGCGGTGCCGCCGGCTCAACCGCCGGCTCAACCGCCCGCTCCGGCCCAGCCGGCCGCGCCGGTCGCCACCGCCCCGCCGAAGAACCCTTGGGGTAACCCGAACGCAGCCAAACCGGCGCAGACTGAGGGCGTGATCCTTCCGGCTGCTCGTAACCCTGCTCCCGCCGGCGCCGGCGTGGCTAAGACCGCCGCCACGGTTCCCGCCCCGAAAGCCCCCGCCCCGAAACCCAAGCCTACGTCCTTCGCCGCTGCCGCGCTGAACGCGCTGTCGCCGGAGGAGGCGGCCAAGCTCAAGGCAACGCCCAAGGTAATGCAGCCGCAACAGAGTGGCGGTCGCGGTGTTCCGGCCCCAAGAGCCGGGGGACGGGGTGCGCCTGCTCCTCGCGGTGCGGCACCAGCTGTGCCCAAGGAGGCGTTCGATTTCCAGAAGATGTTGAAGATGTTCAACAAGGAAAAGTTAGCCAACTCTGCCGAGGCGAAGAAGCTCACCAGCGCGGTGGCGGCCAACCCGGTGTACGTCAAGGATGACTTCTTCGACACGATGAGCAGCGAAGCCACCGAGAAGGCGCAGGGAGGAAACAGGGGTCGATTCCACGAACAACGTCGCATGGACGCCATGACCTTTGGCTTCGAGGCGGTGAGCGCGAACCAAGCGGCGAACCGCACCGCAAATGCGGCTACAGTCGCGGGACGAGGCGGCAGAGGCGGCAGAGGCGCTCCCACCGGCGGCCGCGGGGGTCGGGGCGGTCGTCGATAGAACGAAAAACGGGACGGATGAAACATACTCATAGTCATAGCGTGGATTTCCATATGTGAACACGAATACTTCGTTCTAACTGCTAAGATTTTCATACACTCGTGCGCTCGCCCTAGCGATACATCGCCTCGCTCTCCAGGTTCCTCGCGATCTCCTTCTCCCAACGATCGCCGTTCGCGAGCAGCTTCTCCTTGTCGTACAGTAATTCCTCGTGCGAATACGTCGCATACTCAAAGTTCGGTCCCTCCACGATGGCGTCCACCGGACACGCCTCTTGGCAGAACCCGCAGTAGATGCACTTTGTCATGTCTATGTCGTACTTGGTCGTTCTTCTCGACCCATCCTCTCTCTCTTCCGCCTCGATCGTGATCGCCTGCGCCGGACAGATCGCCTCGCACAGTTTACACGCGATGCACCGCTCCTCACCCGTCGGATACCTCCTCAACGCGTGCTCGCCTCGGAACCGCGGCGACAGCGGTCCCTTCTCGAACGGGTAATTGATCGTCACCTTTTTATCGAAAAAGTACTTCAGCGTCAGCGACATCCCCCGCAGGAGTTCCGTGAGCACCAACGTCTTCGCGCTCGCGTCCAGGACGCCCGCGAGATCGGTCGGGATCTGCCGTTCGGCGAGTTCTCGCACGCGATCGCGCGCCGATCCCCCGTCGCGCTCCACCGTGGTCTTCGCCACCGCCGTCGCGCCCCCGTCCTCGGTCGCCGACGTCGAGCGCGCGGCGCGGTCGAGCGCGATCGCGGGCGTCGCTCGGCGCGCGGACGCGCGTCGTAGGAACGCGCGCGCGATCGATCGTGACATGCGCGCGTGGACGTGCGGACGACCGACGGGGTCGGGGGCGACGGGGGCACCGCGCGCGTGTTGTAAAAATGTAGGCGTTTGGTTACAACACGCGCCGCCCGCGCGGACGACGCGCGGACGAAGACGACGGATGAACACCGATCGAGAAAGTCTAGGATATCGCGATTTTGTCCATCAGACTCGAGTGCATCTTCTCCAACTTCATGAGCTGATCGTACACGTTTAATATTTTGTTCGTGCTGATCTCGAGCACTAAGCCCCCGACGACGGTTTCGTCGAGGACGGTGTACGCCTTTGGGGAGTTGAAGATCAAATCGAGCTCGCATACGTTTTCAAACACCTTGTCCAAAGTTTCGACGTACACCTGGATGAGATCGAGCATCGCGAGCTCGCTCTCGCTTCGATCGCTTAAGATGCAAAAGTACAGGGTGGCGAAGTGTCTGTACACGAGCTTGGTGTCCGGTCCGAACGTTTTCTCGTCGTCGACGAACGAGCACAGGTGATCGGGACGACTCGTCACCAGTTTATACACCGTCTGACACAGCTCCGTTTGCTTATCCACCCCTAACTGCTCGTAGAATCGACACAATCGCACCATGGCGTGGTTATTCACCACGATGAACGCCTTGATCATCGCTCCCGGGACGTGAATGCGCTCGATCGATCGGTCGCCGCGCGCGCCGCGCACCGCCGACGCCGCGTCCGCGTCCGCGCGCGCGCCGACCGGACGTCGCTCCGAGTTCCCGAGCGCCCCCCCGCGCGCGCGTCGGCGTCCACGGACGTCGCGCCGGGATCGTCGACGTCCGCGAACGGGCGCGCGCGACGGCGATTCACGGTCGGGGCCGAGGGTGGGTGTGAACCCTACACCTAAACCCTAAAAAACCCCGCCATCGCGCGCGTCGCATCGCACGCGCGATGATGGGGTCGATCGACACGGAGTACGAGGGACGACGCCGCGGTGGGACGATAAAACGACGCCTCGACCGCGATCGCGCGCGCGCGAGCCCGCGGCAGTGCGCGCGGTCGACGACGTCGCGTTTCGCCCGAGAGCGTCGATGTCGGACGCGGACGCGCGCGAGGTGGTGATCGAGGTGCGGCGCGCGGGTGGGCGAGGCGTGGGCGAGGGAGGGGGTGGAACGGCGGCGCGAGGAACGGTGGATCGGTGGCGCGATCGAGGCCGAGGGGTCGGGTCGGTCGAGGGCGACCGCGAGTGATGGGTCGAACGGGACGGCGATGGGTGAGACTGACGATGGTGTTCGGTGTTGTACGTTCGGGCGCAGGAGGAACCGGTGGTCGAGGCGGCGCCGGAGGCGGCCGCGGTGGAGGTGCGCGAGACGCGGGCGAAGACGGCGTCGCGCGCGCGCGCGGGGTCGGAGAGCGACTGGATGACTGACGACGACGATGGTTTATCTCGATCTAGCTGAAGACGACGCCGTTCGATGCGCGATTCCCGCAGACGAATCAGGCGAAGCACTGTTACACGCGATACAACGAGTTCCACAAGTGCCAGGCGGAGAACGGCGAGGGCGCCGAGGAGTGCGAACCCTTGGGCAAGTTTTACCGAGCCATCTGCCCGCAGGAGTGGGTGGAGAAGTGGAACGAGCAACGAGAAGAGGGAACTTGGGCGGGACGCTACTAGGAAATTTGATGTATAATTTACCGGCGGCTACGCTCGTGTTAGGAAAAAATGTGTAACGAAAACGTTCAGCTTTCACCGCACTCGCGCCGGTCGACGTAGATTTCCCCCGTCACCGCACTCGAGCGTCGCTGTTCGCACTAATACTATTACATGTCTAAGGTGCGTTGCCTCTCGCCCACTCCCCAGAAAGAATCCAACCGAACTGGACGACGAGTCGATCCCACGCCGCGCTCGGCGAATCGAGCGCCGGACGAACGTCTAAATGCATCGCCACCGGAGCGGCCCCGCCGTACGGAACGGCGTTATAAAAGTCGATCACGTATCTCACCTCCTCCCCGCACCGATCGACGACCCAATCGTGTCGATCAAACGGGAGCGCATATCCTAAAAAGTTGAGTAAACGCGCCTTCGGACTGAAATCGCGCGGTCGACCGCGAAATTTCAAGAGCTTTGGATCGGGACACGAATCGCAATGTCTCCGTTCCCACGCCATGACGTGCGCCCACGCGCGTTCATTCACCGCGTTGTGTATCGCCACCACCCGCGCCATGTCCCTCGGGTCCGGTTTCCACCCCTTTCGCGCCATCGCGTCGTGGAACATCTTCTCGCTCGGGTACGTCCACGTCTCTCCCTCCCGCCTCGCCTGATGTTCCGGCACCGCCGTTCGCGGGCTCATCGGAATCGACGACCGCGCCCGCGACGTCCCGAGCGCTCGCGTCCGCGTCGTCGTCCCGATCCACGAGAACCACCCCGCGTTCGTCGTCCCGCCCCCGTCCCGCGTCCCGTCGCCATCCCTCGGCGTCTCGTCGGTCGACCCCTTCGCGCCGTCCACCGCCGCGCCGTCCCGGGCGAGGCGCGCGAACGTCCTCGCCGTCGTCTCGCTCGCCATCGCGCGCGACGCGTCGGTCGCGCCCGCGCCCGTCGACGCGGTCTCGATCGACGCGACGTCCACCGAGGCGTCCAAAGGCGCGTCGGGGCGCGTCCAAAGGGATTTTCACCGCTCGATCACCTTTCGATCGTCCTTTCGACTCGTTCGTCGATCGGCCTTTCGACTCGCTCGTCGATCGACGCCGACGCGTCGCCGCGTTCGCGACGACGCAGACGACGCGCCGGGCGCGATGGTGTCGCCGACGACGACCCCGAGGGGGTTCACCGCGGCGCTGCGCTCGGCGCATCGTCGACGGCGCGTCGTCGCGGCGTCGCGGGCATCGCGCGCGGGGCATCGCGCGCGGGGGAACGAGCGTGGAAGTGGGACGACGCGGCGAGAGCCGTGGGCGCGCGACGCCTCGGGAGGTGGGGCGAACGTGGACGTGGGGCGAACGAGACGGCGTGGGGCGCGCGTGAGCGCGCGGGCGAGCGCGGAGGACGATGGGGTGGACTGGAGCGAGGAGATTGACGGCGACGGGGAATTCGTGGTGGAGGCGTTCGACTCCGCGGTCGAACTCGCGGAGGCGCTGTGTTTGGAGGTGGAGGAGAACGCCCGAGGGTGTCTCGAGGAGCGAGGGACGTTTTACATGGCGATCCCGGGAGGGAGCGTGGCGAAGGCGCTGAAGGGGTTGGCGGAGGTGAAGGACCTGGACTGGGCCAACGTGCACGTCTTCTTCGTCAACGAACGGCCGATGGAGCAAAAGTGCGCCAAGCTCGCGGAAGAGACGTGGACCAAGGCGTGTGGAATTCCCGATGAGAACGTGCATCGCGTGATCGAGACCGAGGACATGGGGACGGCGGCGCAAAACTACGAGGAGCAAATGCGCGCGCTCGACGGCTTGCCCATCGACGAGGAGAACGGACTTCCGGTGTTCGACTTGATCCTCCTCGGCATGGGCGCCGACGGGCACGTCGGAAGCATTTATCCCAACTCTGCCGCCGCGCTCGACGAGAGCGGATCCGCGGTGCTCCCGGTGGACATGCCGGGGAAGCAAACGGTGACCATGAGCATGCCGCTCATCAACACCGCCGACCGCGTCGTACTCGCAGCCACGGGCGAGGAGAAGGCCGAGACTGTTCGCGCGTCGCTCGAAGATGAACTCGAGTGGGGTGAGATTCCGGGCTCGATGGTGGACGCGTTCTCGACTATTTGGTTTTTAGACTTGGGCGCAGCTTCAAAGCTGTCCGCGTACGAGAACATGGACCTCGACGAAGATTCCGATTGATAAATATAACGATTGCGCATCGCGGCGTCGTCACGCAGTTTGAAATTTTCAATTCTCATCGCAATCTTACAATCAAAAAGCCAACCGAGCATACAACATTAAAAGCCGTTCGCGCTTCGCAGTCACCAGTCCCCGCTGCCGATTGGTTGGCGCTGCGCCGTCGCTGCGCGCATCATGTTTACCACGCGTTCGCGCAGCGCAGCCACGTCCCAATCGAGATCAGTGATTTTATGTTCGTAGATGAAACCCTTTGAGTCGAGTTTGTATTCGGAAATGCCGTCGAAGCGCGCCTCGTCGGCGCCGAGCGAACTGACCAAGCGAAGCTTCCCTCGGACGGCCCATCGCACGCGAATCGTGCGAAGACCGGACGATCCCAAGGGTGACCAAATCCGCGAGACCTCGATCGTGCTGTTGGAAAACAACACGGCGGCAACGATGCGAACAATCTTGAACACCCGCTTGTACTCATTCTTGTTTGACGCCATGATCCCGCCTCTGCCATCTCTTCCTGGACCGGCGAACGTCATCGTTTCGTCCACGAGCCCGATGTTATCTCGGTAGATGCTCCAACGAGGTTCCCTCTTCAACATGTCGGGGTAATCCTCGCGTAAGATGCGAATCGCCTCGCCCGACTGGGCGTAGAAGTCATCATCCTTGCTCGAGCTCGGTTCGTCGTCGTCGCCTTGTCCCTGAGATCCTCCTCTCGCGCGCGCGGAGTCCATGATCGCCGGGCACATGGTCAGACTCAACGCTTTTCTTGCCTCCTCATTCACCTCGCGCGCGCTCAACCCGGATCGATCTCGCTCATACGCACGCTCCGCCTCCTCCGTGGGCACCTCAATCTTCACCGTCACCCGCACCGCCCGTCCGCCGCCTCGACACGCCGGACACGCCGTGATTCCGGTGTACCCACACGTTCCACACCCTTCACCATCGGAGCTCCACCGCGTGCACGCGCACGCGGCTCTTCCACTGCCCTCGCACTTCGGACACTCCTCGTTCTCGTCGCCCTCGTCCTCGCTCCGCCCGCGCGTCGCGGCGTACGCCGCCAAGATCACCCCGCACGTCCCCAATTGCGTCGCCCACCACGCGGGTTCGAACGCCTGCGGTAACGCCCGCGCGCGCACCGCTCGTTCGCCCTCGATCGAGCGCCCCGGCGCGTCGACGCGCGCGAATTCTCGCGCGCCACGATCGGATCCCCGATCGAATCCCCGTGCGCGTCGTCCACCGCCGCCGCGCGCGCGCGCGACGCCACCGACGCGCGCCGGGGCGCCGAGCGCGCTTCCGGCGCGCGCCATGGTCGTCGACGCGTCCAGGCGAGCACTGCGGCGCGAACGACGACGTCATCGCCGTGGGACGTGTTCGAGTCCCTCGATGTCGAGTCAGGACTCACGGAATTGAACACGTCGATCGCGACGCGTCGGTGACGCCCGCGACGACGCGCGCTCGAGCGAGTTCGCGGCGCGCATGGCGACGCTCGCGCGCGGGACGTCGTCGGCGTCGTCACCGCGCGCGCGATCGACGCGATCGACGCGTCGTCGAGGGACGGCGCGGCGAACGGGCGCGAGCGCGGTGGACGCGACGCAGAGCGCGCGGGCGAGCTCGAGCGGGAAGACGAAGGAGACGTCGGACATGCTCTCGAACGATTCGATGGAGGAGGAGGATGGGTTCGAACACACGTACGAGAAGTTTCGGTGGTCGGACGTGCGGGCGAGCGTGCGACCGACGCAGGTGGCGCTTGGATGGGATTGGACGTTTTATAAGCTGTCAAACTTTAAGGATTTGGAGAGCGCGACGACGTACATGGCGAGGAAACCGGTGCCGTACGTCAAGTATCGGGGCCTGCGATACGTTGTTGATCATCACCACACGCTCGCCGCGTTGAATCTCACGGGGTGGGACGTGGACGTGTACATGGAGGAGATTTTCGAGTACGACGACGATCTCGACGACGCCACGTTCTGGGGAATCATGGAGGGCAAGGGGTGGAGCTTCTGCTGGGACTCGAATTATCAGCGTTTGTCGTACGCAGATATTCCCACGTCTTTCGAGCTCCAGGCTTTTAGAAATGACATTTTCCGCTCACTCGGCGGTTTCTGTCGAAAAGACAAACTGCTCAAGCGAGGGAAGATGCTCGAGGACAAATTGTTTTTTGAGTTTCAGTGGGGTTACTTCTTTTGGCTTCATAGAAACGACGCCTACGGACTGTGGCCGTCGTCACAGCTTCAGCGAGGCTTCGACCGTCTACTCACCATGATTGAGCAAACCGACGACAGCGAGTACATCGGCGAAGGACACATCGAAGCGAGCAGGGACGTTCGCGACATGATTTTCCTCTCGGACAAAGTGCTTCAACCCTTGTATGACGTCCTCGTTGAGTACGTCGCGCCGCTCGCGTACGCATACGCCACGCTTCCCACTAAGGAGGCGCGCGCTGTGCACGGCTTGAAGAAGCGCTTTGGTCGAGACACCCTCCCAGGCTCTGTCGTCACCGGCATGGGACGAGACTTTCTCATCGATCGCCAAAACTTCGTCCTCCCAGTAGACGATAAGAAGGATGCAAAGAAGGATAAGAAGGATGAGAAGAAGGATGAGAAGAAGGATGAGAAGAAGTCCAAGGAGGCTGAAAAGTGAGAACGTAAGAGAGGGCACGTTTACGCTAGACCATAGAATCGACCTCGCGGTGCTGGCACGGCGCGCGCTACAACACGTACACACCGCAAAACATTAATTCAACGAACGCACCGATGAGCGCCTTCGCCGTCGTCGCGACGTCGACGAGCCGTCCAGCTCAAGCGTCCCGCACGTGGACGTCGTCCAAGACACGCATCAAATGCTCCCCGGACCGCTCGCACGAGCAGCGCCCGTTCGAAGCGAGCGCCGCGCCTTTCGTCGCGCTCGCAGCCTCGGCGTTTCTCATTGGGGCCTCGCCCGCGCGCGCGTTCGACGGCGACGCCGCGGTGACGTTCTCGAGCAAAGGGTGCGTCGGGTGTCACGCGGCGGGCGGCAACGTCGTGAACGGCTCGGCGACGCTCTTCACCAGAGATCTCGAGAGAAACGGATTGACGACGAAGGATGATGTCGCGAGAGTTATCGAGCTCGGGAAGGGGAAGATGCCGGGATACGGTGAGGCGTGCGCGCCGAAGGGTGCCTGCACGTTCGGCGCGCGGCTGAACGCCGAGGAGATCGACGCCCTGGCGACGTACGTGCTCGAACAGGCTGCGAACGATTGGAAGTAAGACGAGAGCGATGTTCGTGCGCTCGTGCGCGGCACAGAGGGTGCGCTTAGACTGTAGCTACTACGATATTCTTTTTGTTATTTCATTTGCGCAGTGTACAACAACTCTAGTTTGGTCGTCACAAATCAGACCTCGCCGCGATCATTTCCGACGCCCTGCACGCCTCTCTCAGCGTCTCCACGAGATGCGCCATCTCTTCAGCGTCGCACTCGAAGTTTACCCGCTCGCCTTCGCCCCGCCCGTCGCTCAGGACCCAAGATAGGTGAAATCCCGGTTCACGCGCATCTCCGTTCGCCGATGTGCTCACGACGTAATCCGCTCGACACGCGTGCGCGCTCAACTTTAGAATCGGGGAACTCATCGCGTGTCTCTTCATGCGCTCTTCTAATCCACGCTTGATCTCCCCGTACGACTTCGCCAAGATCTCCGCCGTTCCGCTTGAGCATCCACCGTTTCGCTCGAGCGTCGCTCGCGCGTCTCTCGTGTCGAACCCACGCCGTCCAGCCTCCACGAACGCCGTCGAGATTGCCCCCACGACACGCTCGACGTCATTACTCGTCGTCCCCACCGCCGCTTTCTCTAAATCATCGCTCGTGAGCGCGACGGCGACGCGAGAGAGGACGGATTCCAACTCTTCTTTTGGTAATCCATCCAGTTCACTCAAACTCTTCACCGCGGACGCCTGCGTGACGGGTCAACGAATCCATGAAGCGCGTCAGTCGATGGCGTCATATACTTCGCGATCAAACTCGAGATGGAGACGCCGGAGTCAAAGTCGTGGACGCACCGGAAGATCCATCTGAATGCCACGCTCGCTCGTGCGCGCGTCGCGCTGTGTCGTTCAAGGTCACGATACCAAGGCTCCTTGTTTTATTACACGAAAAGTAGGGAGAGTAGGGACGACAAAGGACTGCGCGTGATGCGTCGAACGATGCTCGCGTCGCGGTCTGAGGGAAAATTTGGTGATTATTTGAGTGAGTCTTGCGCGCTCAGAAGCGCGGGATGAGAGAGTCCTTTGGAATGCACTCGTTCGCGAAAACCATGAGCTGTCCGAGATGGAGCGCGGTCATGGCGCGGCCCCACGGTTGAACCAGTTGTGGCGTGATGGAGATGGTGACGATAAGGAACTGAAAGAAGAGGAAAATTGACGCACGTCGGCCGGAGAATCCAGAGAGGTACGCCAAGGAGAACATGGCGGAGGTGACGCCGAAGAGCGGGTGGAAGATCAAACCGGCGACCGGACCAAGGATACCAGGACCCTTCATGCCGGCGGCGGCAAACTTGGCCATCGATGCGCCTTGCATGAACAAGAAGTTCATCATGAGAACCGGAACAGTCGCGGCACACTTCTTCAAAGCAGCAACCTTTCGGCTCGAGAACATCGACTTGGCCTTGGCGGTGGTGCAGAAGAGCGCCACGGCATTCGCATACTTGAATGCCATCGCGTTGCGAATGATCGTCTCGCGAACACCGAAGGAGGACGCCGCTAAAACGGTGTTAGCGTGCAAAGCCAGGGTGAACGCGGTGAAATGCGCCGGAAAATCGGAGCCGGGCGCCATGTTGAAGATGCCCATGACGCCGCACATGGTTTGCAGGTACGCCCAGAGCGGGTTCCCGAAGTACGCATCGCTCACGACAGCGAGGACACCGGTCGTCTTCCCGGTCAAACCGAGCGCCTTATTCATGTTACCGTTCCCGGCGCCGCCGAAGTGCGCCTGCGAGACGACCGAGAACGCGACAACCGTCGCGGCTCCATACATGCCGATTCGCTCCAACACTTGCTTGACGCCGCGAACGGACTGCAAAGACGTTAACGTCCCCGTCGCCCCGCCCACGACGTCGATCTTCGACAAAACGCTCAACGGATTCACGATGGGAATGGAGGGCAGGGTGAACCCCCGCGGCGTCGATCTCGTCGAGCGCTTGGGCGCGCTCTTCGACGACGCGCGCTTACTCGGTCGCTTCGCGGCGGCCATTGAGACGGTTGACGTTCTCGCCTCTCGTTCAAAGTGGTTCGACGCGGGTGCTGCGCACGCGCGACGGTTCGACGGGGGTAAAAAAACTGTACGACCGCTTCCGCTCGATCGAAACCGCGCGATGGGCGTCGCGATGTCTCGTTCGCGCGCGCGCGGCCGCGTGGCGATGCGCATTCAATTTTCCCGCGCGCGCGTCCCTCGCGTCCTGGGAGCTGTGATACTATATACGCCAAATCATATCTACACTACGTAACGACGTCCGCGCACGCAGAAAGCTGACACGACTAAAGTCCCCTCGTTTCTCCTAAAGCGCATCGCCGCTGGGCGATCGATCGTTCCCCTCGTCGCGCCGCGTGTCCGATATAAATAGGTCCGCGTTTCCATCGTGAGACTTCCGTCGAGGTGGACCCGCGCGCGAGGGCGCCGCGCTGGGGTCGACGTCGCGCCAACGCATGGGCTACGCCGGCTACGCCCCGGGGCACAGGGTGGCGGAGCAGAAGACCCCGCTCGAGCGCGCGTTGGATTCGGTGCGGAATCACGAGACCTTGGACGTCGTGGAGAAGCTCACGAGGAACGTCTGTCGAGATCCGAACGATGAAAAGTATCGACGCATTCGGTCGAGCAGCGCGACGATCAAGCGACTGGTGTTCGACGATGAGAACGCTTTATCGGTCATGCTCGCTTTGGGGTGGAGGTTCGAGGAGGGTGAGCGGGAGATGACGCTCTCGAGGGACGCGCGAACGACCATGGCGGACGTGAGAGCGATCGACGCCGCGCGGACGAGTCTGCGAAGAAGATTGGAGGAAGAGATGCACGCGAGGATTCGGGAGAGGGCGAGGGCGAAGGATCCCGCGGTTCAGGCGCTCAGAGAGCAGATGGAGGCGGATCGGGGGGAGCGGAGCGCGCGGGAGCCGGTGACGGAGGGGTCGAGGGCAGTGGAACGCACGAGCGGACGCGTCGTCACGGCGAGCGACGTGGGCGCGAGTGGGTCGAGCGGGTGCTGAGGATAAGCGCGCGATGCATCGTGAGCGAGCCCGTGAGGTCTTGCTCGCGCATCGCCATTATAAGCACTCGATTTAAGAGCCCTTTGCGCGCCGAGCGGTCGCGCTCGGAGGTGAAGACGCAGTGCTTTCGAAGCACCGCGCGCGTCTACTCCCCGACGCGACGGACGTGACGCGACGACGAGAAAACGATGAAAAGCCTCATCCCTCGTCGTCGCCGATGCACGCTCGGAGTGCGAGGACGCTCGAAAATAATTCTTAAAAATCAAAGTTGCCGCGTCCCGGTCGCTTGCGAGAGTGCTCCGGGAACGCGACGCCGCGCGGCGATCGCCGACTCGAGCGTTTCATTCGCGCTGTTGTATGTACCAACTAAAGATTGATTCTTTACCGCGTGATCGTCGCCAAGGTCATCTGCGCCTTCCGTCCCGCCCGCGCCGCGCCGCACACCGCGACCCTCAGCTTTTTGTGATCGTTCAAAATGCCCGTAATCGACGTCGCGATCGGTCCACTGATCCAAATGGCCGAGGCCGCTTCTCTTGGCATGCCTTTCGAGGTGTGGAAGACGAGGATGGGACGACACAGATCGGAATCCACCGTCCAGGCGTTTTCAAACATTTACAAAGAGGGCGGCGCCAAGGCTTTCTGGCGAGGAACTCAGGCGAAGATGTTCGAGAGCGCGACCAAGGGGGCGATCTTGATGTACGCCAAGGAAGGGATTAACGATTCTTTGCTCCAGGCGGGATGGACTCCCGGGATCGCCGGGATCGCGGCTGGGGCGGGCGGTGGCATCGCCCAGGTCAGCGTCATGGGTCCGGCAACGTATCTGGTGACGGGCGCGGTGAACTCGCCCGGTATGTCGACGATGGAGCGAATCAGGGAGACGTACGGTCGAGGTGGGATCGCTGGATTTTACCCAGGTGGAGTTGCGATCGCATTCAGACAGGCGACGAACTGGGCGTCGAGGCAAGGTTTCACAGAGGTCGTTCGGGACAAGGCGAAGCAAGCTTTGCACGGAGACGCGAACGCAAAGCTCTCGAAGTGGGAGGAGGTCGGATGCGGGATCGTCGGTGGAACGCTCGCGAGTTGGAATCACCCGTTTGAAGTTGCGAGGATAGAGGCGCAGAGTCGCGGGAATGCGGGTTTGCCGACTGGGAACATGGTGAGCGTCATGTCGGACATCGTCAAGGAGAGCGGCGTCGGCGGCTTGTTCCGAGGCATCATCCCTCGAATCGGTCTAGGGATCTGGCAAACTCTCTTCATGGTCACCGGGGCGAAAATGTTGAAGGAGACGCTCAAAGAACAGGGCTTACTCGAATCCACGGGTGGCGGAAAACACTAACTTGTAACAAAGACCCGTCGCCTCACATTGAGATGCGCAATGATCCCCTCGATGTCTCGCGTGCGAGCGCTCGTGGGACGTTTGAACGACCCGCGCGACAAATCGTGCGTTTTCGTCGTCGCTGCCGCCCTTCTGGCGCTCGACTTCGTCCTGTGTCTAGTAATCATCCGACGCGTCGCGTACACGGAGATTGATTGGATCGCCTACATGGAAGAGGTGCACGGCTACGTCGCTGGCGAGCGCAATTACGAGAACTTGAGGGGTGGCACCGGACCCTTGGTCTACCCGGCCGGGTTCGTGTACGTGTACAGAGCGTTGTATTGGCTCGTTGGAGGTTTTGAGCGTGGGACGAGCGCGCTCGGCATCGCGACAGCGCAGAAGGCGTTCGCGCTCGTTTACACCGTAAATCAACTCGCGGTGTTCGTATTGATGGCGTCGTGTGAGATCGTTCCGCCGTGGGCGTACGCGCTGACGTGCTTGTCGAAGCGTGTGCACAGTATTTTTGTTCTGAGAATGTTCAACGACGGTGTCGCCATGACGCTCGCGTACGTCTCGGTGGCGTTGTTTCAGCGTAAGAGGTGGGTGAGCGGGAGCGTGGCGTTCTCGCTCGGAGTTTCGGTGAAGATGAACGTGTTACTCATGCTTCCAGGACTATTGGTGCTCCTGGTGGGCGGTACGACGTTCGTAACGGCTGCAAAGGCAGCGTGTGCGATGGTACTCACGCAAGTCGTTTTGGGGTACCCGTTCTTGGCAACGTATCCACGACAGTACCTCGGTCGAGCGTTCGAATTCGGTCGAGTGTTTATGCATAAGTGGAGCGTGAACTTCAAGTTCGTTCCCGAGGACGTGTTCACATCCAAGGAGTTTGCAAAGTATTTATTGCTCTCGCAGCTCATTGCGCTCCTTGCGTTCGCGCACTGCAAGTGGTGTCGACGAGAGGGTGGATTTTTCTTCGCTTTCGTAAGAGATTTCTTCACGAGAGCTCTTGGAGGTAATCGCACGGGCGTCGAGTCGACGTTCACGCCGGCGCACGTGGCTTTGGTGATGTTTGAGAGCAATTTCATCGGCATCGTCTTCGCCCGTTCGCTCCACTATCAATTTTACTCCTGGTACTTCCACACCTTGCCTCTTTTGCTCTGGTCGAGCCCCCGATTACCGGTCTGGGGTAAAGTTGTCATCTTGGGTGCGATTGAGTGGTGCTGGAACGTGTATCCGTCGACTGCGACGTCGAGTAAAATTTTACTCGGGCTTCACGTAGGCGTGCTCGCATCCCTGTGCGCCGCTCCGCCGGCTTCTCGCGTAAACCGCGCGCCGCCGTCGTCGAAAAAAACGAAGAAATATTAGTTGGTAGAACTGTTCAAGCATACCGGTAGAATTGTAACGTAGTAATTAGTCCAGTGAGCTACGAGCATGATTACAACGCGCTGTTCTGCGCTTTTTCAAATTCAGATTTGGATACCAAAGAACCGATCCCAAAACGTCGCCGTACGTGTGACGTAGAAACTCTTCCCGGAAGGCGAAGTCAATGGACCATCGTAAACGACCCCCGAGTTTGCCGCGTCGTAACCCTCACCCCCGGCTGCGGCAACGCGATCGTCATCGTACTCAGCCACTCCAGCATCTTTGAGCTTTTCTTGAAGTTCTTTTCGCCTAGCCTCCATCGTGAGAACTAGGTCACCCAGGGCACGCGTGCGCTGACGATCGAGCTGGCGCAATTTGGACACGGCTTGCGCCTGTTCCTGCGCCTGCGAGAGCACCGTTCGCGTCTGTTCGATGAGTTCAAACTGCCCTTCGTCCGTGAACTCCTTGATCTCGAGGTTGATGGAAACCGGTCGCTCGCCGATTAAATCGAACTCGTTCTCGCGCTGCTGAAGCAAGCGACGGACCGATTGTAATTCACTTTCCTTTTCTTGATGTATCGCGCTCAGCGATTGCATCTTTTCCGTCAACTCTCGTACGCGTTGCATCAAGATGCCGTTTTGATGTTCGACGCTCCCCGGAATCGCCCCCCCGGTGGTTTCCACGCTCTGTCCCTGCAGCGACGCCTTTCTCACCGCGCTCAACGACTTTGCCGTCTCGCGCAGAATATTCTCCGTCACCTCACGCTTCATAGCCTCGCGCACGAGCGTCGCCTGCGTCTCGAACAACCGCTTCTCGCTCGTCTCCAGCTTCTCCTCCACGTCCATGTCCTCGTATCGCTTATACGTCACGCTCGTCCGCGCGTTCATCGCTCGCGCCACCGCGACATCTTGCGGCGCCATCTCCCCCACGCCCGGCGACCCCACCGCGCGCACCACTCGATCCTCCGCCCCCGCGAGCGTCGCCAACCGCCCGCGCGTCCGCGTCTCGATCGAATTCTCATCGATCGTCCTCGGCGCCGGCACCGGTTCCGCCCCCATCGCTCGCGGCGCCCGAACGCGATCGACCACGCGTCTCGTCACCGCGCGCACCGGTCGCTCCTCCACCTCCACCGTCTCCGTCTCCACCGTTCGCACCGTCACCGCGTGCGCGCGTCCATCGTCGAGATTCATCCGCACCGTCGCCCGCGCGCCGTCGTCACCGCTCGCGCGCGCGCGCGCGGGTCTCCCTCGCCGCGCAAGTTTCCCTCACCGCGCGTCGAGCGCGACGTCGAGCGACGCGCGGTCGATCGTCGTCGCGGCGTCGACGGGCGAACACCCATCGATCGCGTGTGGAGTCTCTCTATCCACGAGTCATGACCCGTGACGTCGTATACAGCACGCACACGCGCGATGTACGTCATCGAGGCACCGGAAGCGGGCACCGGTCGACGTCGACGCGTCCACCGAACGCGGGCGACACCGCGCGACGACGGACGAGCGACGACGGACGAGCGACGACGACGCGATGAAGATTCGAGCCGTCGGTGCGCGCGCGATCGATCGCGCGATCGACCGAGCGCGTCGGCGGGGGTGGGACGGCGACGGCGGGACGCTCGAGATCTTCCTCGGTCTTCGATCGCGCGCGAACGGTGGTTGGGTGCGACGCGCGCGGTGGATGGGTGGACGACGACGGGCGGGGTGACTGACGAGGACGTCGTGTGATGGCTCGCGCGCGCGCAGCGGCGCTCGGGGCGGAGATATCGTCGATCGAGACGATCGATGAGGAGCGACGGGACCCGGGCGAGGGGGACGTCGCGTTCGACTTGGATTACTGCGGTATCTGTCACTCGGATTTGCACTTTTTGAAGAATGATTTGATGAACACGACGTATCCGTTGACCCCAGGGCACGAACTCATCGGTACCGTGACGTCGGTGGGGACGGGGGTGAAGGGCTTCGCGGTGGGAGATAAAATCGGCGTCGGGTGCATGGTTGACTCGTGTTTGTCTTGTAAAAACTGCCAGATGGACGAAGAGCAGTACTGCGATAAGGGTGCGACGTTCACGTACGGCTCTATGCCGGTGCACGGTCGCGCTGGTCCGGAGGGTAAACCGACCGTCGGTGGATACTGTACGAAGATGGTCGTGAATGAGCGCTTCGCGATTAAGATTCCGGCGTCGGCGCACGACAAGCTCGCCAAGGCGGCGCCGTTGATGTGTGCCGGCATCACTCTCTACGACCCGATCAAGGCGTTCGGGGTGACCAAGGGCACGCGCGTCGGCATCGCAGGCGTCGGCGGTCTCGGAATGATGGGTATCGAGATCGCCGCCGCGATGGGAGCGGAGGTCACCGCCATCTCGCGCTCGCGATCCAAAGAGGAGAGGGCAAAGGCGCTCGGCGCGAAGAACTTCGTCGCCATGAACGACGAAGAATCTTTGAACGCCGCCGCTGGATCTCTCGACATCATCCTCGACACCGTCTCCGCGTGTCACGACAGTGAGCCGTACGCCAAGCTCCTCGATAAGCGAGGCACATTGGTTTTGTTGGGACTCCAGGTGACGCCCGTCGCCGTCGGCGCGCCGCACTTTGTGTTCACCCGTAAATCCGTCACGGGCAGTCTCATCGGTGGTATCAAAAACACGCAAGAGATGATCGATTTCTGCTGCGAGAAGAACATTTACCCAGAGATCGAAGTCATCGATGCGTCAAAGATTGGCGACGCTCTTCAAAAGTTGGAGGATGGCAACGACGCGGGCGTTCGCTACGTCATCGACTGCAAAACGATTCAATAATGCAAATTTTTGTCATTCCACATTTCACGTTTACACTGCTCTAATCAGCTTCGGCCGTCATGCCAGAAACGTTGCCCGCCTCGCGCTCTAGTCTCTCCAATAATCGCACTTTGTCGGAGTACTTCCAGAATGGATTGGAATCAAGTGTGTTCACCGCCATCTTGGAGAACTCGCTCAGAACGTTGTCGTCTGAAACACCAGCGAAGATTGAAGCGAGGGAGGCGCGTTCGGCGAGGAAGTTGTCCGTGAACGGAGAGAGGCCGGCTCTCTTGCGCATCAACCGTTCATAGACGCGCTCTTGCGTTCTCGCCTCGATCGCCTCGTTCTTCAGAAGTTGATACTCCTCCTCGCTGCTGATACCCGCCGCCTCCATGAGCCACGGTTTGTGCTTCTCGATCACCTCCTCATCGTTTATCTCGACCGCTTCACTCACCAACCGAGGCTTCTCGACGATGTGGTTGACGTCAAGCTTTTCGTTTGTCAAGAGGAAGCTCGCGCGAACAAACTCGTGTCTATCGTAGTCGTAAGTCTCGTTCGCCGCTTGAAGCTGACGAGCTTGGCGAATGCGCTCGTTGAGAGCTTGTTGAATCTGCGCGTCCACACCGTCGCCGCGACGTTGCGAACGATTCGTCGCTCTACCCTGGCCGCGCTTGCGCTGTTGGATTCCCGCCGTGAACTGACCATCCTTCATGCGTCGCGAGGACGCGGACGCGCGAAGCGACGGATCGAGCGTGAGTTCCGCTCCGGTCCCAGCTCCCTGTACACGCTTATAGCGCGGAACGAACGTCTTGATGTTCTCCTTGGCTGCCGCTACGCGCTCGGCGCGTCGCGCCTCTGACATCTCCTGCGCCTTCACCCTCTCGCTCGCCAATCGTTCCGCGCGGAATTGCCTGCGATCGGCGAGCTCAGCCTTTCTGCGTTCCAACGCCGCCGACGTCTCAATCGGATCGACGCCCTCCATTCCCTCATCCCCCCCCACGTTCGCGCCGTCTCGCTTCTTCTCCGCCAGGCGCACCAAGAGCGCCCCCGGCGCCCCCTCCAGCGTCCCCAACCCCCCGTCCACCGCCGCCTCGATCGCCTTCCTCGCATCTTCCGCTCGAACGAACCGCACCAACCCCCCCGGCCACGGCCCATCCGGATTCAGCGCCCGCGCGCTCGCGATCGGTCCAAACCGTCGAAACGTCTCCCGCAGCGCCCGCTCCGTGACCCCCGGCGCCATGTTCTTCACGTACACGTTCGCCTCCCTCATCGGCGACGCCCGCGCCCGGCGCTTCCGCCCAGTCCTCGACGGCGATCCATCGCTCGCCGTCGCCGTCGCCGTCGCCGTCGCCCCCCCACGCGCGCTCGCGGCGTCACCGTCGGCGCAAAACGTCCGGGCCCACGGTGGAGGGCTCCACCGCGCGCGCGATTCCACATCGCCCCGTCCCGCGCGTCCGAGCGCGCGTCCGTCGACGAGGGCGCGCGCGCGGGCGACGCAGATCCGCGCGACGCGATCGAGCGCGGCGCGGGGCGACATCGCGCGCGCGCGCGTCGAACGATGGGGCGCGCGCGACGAGGGCTTCGATGGGACTCACGCACGAGTCCGCACTCGTCGTCGGGCGCGATCGATGCGATCGACGCGCGCGCGGGCGTCGGCGACGCCTCGCCTCGGCCTCGGGCGCGCTCGACGACGGCGCGGGGGCGGGCGCGCGCGCGGGAACGCGCGACGGGGCGCGGGACGGGAGGACGACGGCACGGATGGGGCGAGCTCGGGGGATTTCATCACGGATGTCGTGGGCGCCATCTTCGGTCGAGACGCGCTGAGGGATCCGGAACCGATGGGATTGAAACGAATGACGCGGGAGGCGTGGCCGGATCAGTGGCCGGCGACGACGGCGGCGACGGCGGCGACGGTGGATGGGGACGATGCGATTTTGGTAAACGCGCGGAGCGTGCTGACGCAGACGCAGTTGGAAAAGTTATCGTTGGGCGTGGCGTACGACGCGAACGTCCACGGGTGGAGCGCGAGCGCGTTTCACACGCAGTTGGATGGACAAGGTGCGGGGTTATTGGTGGGAGAGACGGCGGATGGGGAGGTTTTTGGAGGTTATAATCCGATCGGGTGGCTGGGATACGGCGAGGCGCGAGACGCGGTGAGCGCGTTCTTGTACGTGATCGAAGAGGACGGAAACGCGGTCAAGCTGCCGAAAATCGGCGGGAGCGGGATGGCGATAATCGATGAGAGCGGTCAGGGACCGCAGTGGGGCCCGGACGGGTTGAAGGTGTCGCTGGAGGGACGCTGGGCGAAGTCGCGTCTGGGGACGTATTACGAAAACATGCCGAGCGGCGACGCGTGCTTGTTCAAAAACACCAAACGCGGGACCCCGGTGGAGTTGAAGAGCCTGCGCGTGTACGTCGCGCTTGAGGATACGGAGCTCGCTAAAAGTTATCAACCAAACGCGTTGCAGTGGCAGCCAGGAGAGCTCGAAGAGATTCGCAAGGACGACGACGATCCAAACCACATGGACGGTTTCTTCGGAAAGCTCTTCGGGGGTAAGAAGAAATGAGCGTCGACGTAGAAAATGTTGTAGCGCGCACTACGATCAATGTTGTGACAACTCGTGACTAATTCAACTAATAGGTATGACTAACGCGTGCTTGGTTTGGCGGATTCTCCGCGAGCTCTCTCTCGAATCGCTCGAGCAAACTCGCGTCCTCGTCCTTCAACTTCACCCCACGATGATCCGCGGGATATCTACTCTGCACGTACGCCAACGCATCCTTAAACGACATGCGCATCTTAAACATCACGTACGCCGTCGCCACCGTCGGCGCGCGCGAGCGTCCGCTCATGCAGTACACCAGCACGCGCACCGGTTGAGATTTGTCAATCTCCAGCGCGCTCGTCGACCGCGCGTGTAAGCTCTGCAATCGTTCACACGCGTGCCTCAAGTCTAAATCTCCCGCACCACCCTCCTCGGACGTGTTCAGATTCACCACGCTCAACCACCTCCCCGAGCAACACGACTCGCACGTCGGCGCCGCGTTGATCACCGTCCGCACGCCCGCCCGTAACAGCGTCTCCTCGCTGCTCGTGTGTTCGAACGCACCGACGAGTAAGAACCGATCGATCACCTCCACCACCGTCGTCGCCCGTCGCGCCCGTTCGCCCTCGAGCGCGCGCGCCCGTCGCCCGTCACCGTCCCCATCCGCGTCCGCGTCCGCCCGTCGCACGTGTCCGCACTCATCGCACGTCGTCCCGCGCGCGTGGTAGTGCTCGCACGTCTCACACCGCGACGCGTCGAGCGCGTCCGCGCACGGGCGCTTCACCCCTCGCATCGACGATCCGCCCCCGTCGCGACCTCGGGCGTCGACCGTGGGACGTCCGTCGTCGTTCGTCGCGGATGTGTACACTGTTCGCCCACACGTGGACGTCGACGCATGCGTCGAAAGGTGATTCGAAAGGCGACGCGGAAAACACATCGAAAGGTGTCGACCGGTGACGGGCGAAAGGCGTCGACGCGGTGGATCGATCGCGCCGAACGACCGGAGATCGTCGCGCGTGCCGACCGACGTCGACGCCGTTCGATCGCCGTGCGCGCGATCGCGTCGCGTCGCGCGCTCGGTGCGGACGCGGACGTCGTCGCTCGCGTCGCGCGCGTTCGCCCAGGGCGCGCGGCGCGTGGCGATACCGCGGTCGGGCGAACGCGCGCTCGGCGTGTGATTCCTAGGGCTTCGACGGCACCGAGCGCGTGGACGACGGACGCGGCGTCGACGGGCGTGCACGCGCGCGCGCGCTCGGGGGTGCGGGCGAAAGCGTCGGGGGGGGCGTCGACGGGGCGCGGACGCGATCGGGAGGTGCGAGAGGTCGTCGGGGGAGGGGCATGGGGTCGGGCGATCGCGCGGACGCCGACGGCGCGGCGGACGCCGAGGCGGACGCGGAGGCGCTGAGCGGGGCGATGCTCTTGCTCGATGCGTCGGATACGATGGCGCGCGTGACGCGTAGACGACGGGAGGGTGGGGCGAGCGCGAGCGCGCGGGTGAAGACGACGAGAGGGCGCGAGACGATGGGGCGCCGCGACGGGGCGCCGAGCGAACGCGCGTTGCGCGTGTTGAGGGGGTTAAAGAACGCCGATCACAGGCGGTTGATCTATCGCTGGACGAACGCGTTGATTCGTGCGGTGGGGTTGAAGGTGCCGATGGGCGCCGGAGGGTTGATCTCGCAAGAGTTGAAGAATAAACGGGAAAAGTTTGACAAGTTTTTGTTGCACTACTACGGCGAGGAGACGTTTGGGCTGGGGAGTTTTTGGTTCTCGAATTCAAACGTCCTGGCGTTCTTCAGTGAGATATTTTACGTCGCCACGGAGGGACGGGTGCGGTGCGCCGAGAGCGACATAGCGGAAATATTTTACAAGACGGATCCAGACAGAAAGGCGAGCACGTGGGTGACATCGTCCGAGGCGCTCGAGCGATTCGGGATCTCGCGCGCGGAAGTGTACGCAATTTATTGCGGTAATGCGCGAGTTGAGAACGGCTGGGCGAAGGGTCGACCCTTGTGCGTGCCGACGCCCCTGATACAGAGCGCGGTGCCGGCGAACGATGTAAAGCTCAGCGAGGCGCCAACCGTCGTCTCCAGACTGGCGACGGGTTCGTTGAAAAGACCGAGAAGCCCGCGCGATATTTCCGTCGTCGGCATCGACGAGCGTCTCACGTCGCTCGGATGGAAGCACTCGACGTCTTTGAGCGCATACAAAGGGCTCTCGCTGCTGGAGCAAAAGGCTGTGAAACTGTGTCATCCCTTGGAACCTTGTGACGATACCTCGCCGTTGGGAGTTATGGTCTTCATCGCAGATGAAATCCTAGAGCGCGGACGAAGGTATGCGGGTCCACGGACGAGACCGTGCGAGAGAAACCAAGTGAACAAGTTCTTCGGCAACATCATGGGCCTGGAGGTATTCAGTACAGAGGACGTTGGCACAGCCATCAGAATCAAGGATAGCGCGGTTCTTCTTAGAGATCCTTTCCTGAGGTTCACAAAGGCGCACGCCAAGCTGAAAGAGATGAAAGCCTTAGTGAAGAAGATACGATTGAAGCGAGACGTGGCCGCGTGCACGCTTGCTGGTTTGATGAAGTCAAAGCTGATGCAAGATCACAAATGCGAGCTCAATCTCACCAGTGAGCACCAGCAGACGTGCGTCAACGAGCTCGAGGCGACTCTGACGGAGAATACGGCAATGTTGGATGCAGCTTCGAAGGAATTCGAGGCTTCAGAGTCTGGGGTTAAAGATGGATATCTTCAAGTCGTCCGGAGTGCTTATGAGTTCGCCTCGGAGATTCAGGATAAAATTCGGGCGCACCTCTGTGTAACTCTCGAGCAAGTCTCCGCGGCGACTGCGGCGGCGCAGATCGAGGGTGAAATAAAGGCGAGAGAGCAAGACGACATCGAAAGCTTAGAGTCGAAAGATAAAGCTCACAGCTTGGTCGAAAGGAGAGCCATGCTCCTAGATATGATGGCGCAATTGGAAGAGTGCTCTTCGTGCGTGTCGTTTTCGCTGAGCACCTTGGAGCAGCGCTGGAACCGGTTTAAGATTTTCGCTTGAGCGCGTTCGCATGTAATGATTTTCTTGATATAAATTCTAGCGCTAGTGTACACGAATGAATTAAGATTGCGCGCTTACTTGAGTCCGTTCATGAGAGTCGAGGCGAAGGCCTTGCGCCGACTCTCGCATTCTCGCGGCGACGGCCGGTAATACTTCAACATCCCGTCCCACGGCACGGCTTTAAGCCCGGCGCGTTTGCAAATCATCGTTCTCACTCTCTCAGCGAACTCGATGCTCGTTTCATCTTCTCGCTGTCGCTGAGGTTCCATGTACCAAACGTCTGCGACGACGGCCCAAGAACTCATGAGCTTGCACAAGTGCCTGGAGAAGCTCTGGCGTCTCGAGTTCCAGAAAGCGTCGACAAACAGGCTGTTGTATTTAATCGCCACCGGAACAACGTCCACGCCGAGATCAAACGCACCTCGCTTAAACATAACGCAGTACTTGTTGTTCACGCAAGTCCCTTCAGGGAAAATCAACAACGGCAACCTCGACTTATCTGCCACGTGCTGCTTCAGTCTCTCCGTTACCTTGTGACGGTCTTGGATGTCCGTGCGATTGAACTCTATGCAATCGATCGCATTCATCGCCGTGCGCTGCAACAAGCCGACCCAACCCCTGTGCTTCTGTTGGATCACCGCGAATGGCGACACCTGCGTGAGAACAAGGTAGTCGATCATCGACGTGTGATTGCTCACGTACACCACCCCGCCCCTCTGCCCACCCCTAGACGGCTTCGGTCCGTGATACCTGATCACCCCGGTCCACGAGACCACGAACGCGGCAGCGTACAACTCCACGCACTTTCGCTCCCAACCCCACTCTCTCGGCGTAACGTAATGCGAAAAGAAGAACGACACTGTAAAAGCCGCGCTCGCGCTCAGAATGAACGCCAACCGCAACGGAAACAAAATCCCGTGCCGAATCAACCATCCGAGCCACCACAGTGGAAACAGATAAAAATTGAAGTTCCAAGGCTCCTCCACCGCCTCCTGAAAGCATCGATTGAAGCTATCGTCGACGATTGCCGCGCACGCATCCTGCAGAACGCCGCTGCAGTCCAACAGCCTCGGAAGCACCTCCTCTCGCTCGTGCGTCGACCGCGTACGTTCCGCCTGGCGCTCGAGCTCGATCCCTGGTGTCACTCTTTCCACTTGCTCGCGCTCGATGTCGCCCTCGCCGAAGGAATCGAACGCGAAGCGGTTAATCGATTCGCTTGGCTGGGGTGTGCGAGCGCTCTGATCGCCGCTCGAGCGTCTCGCGCCGGCGTCTGCGTCGTCGACGGGCATGATGCGTTCAGTGTGAAGGGCCACGCGCTCTCCAGCGTTCGTCGGAGCCGGTTACGGGATCGCGCCGACGAGTGAAGTTTGGTGAACGATCCTGAGTGTCTCACGGGCGGCGCGCTCCGTTCTCGCCTCGACGCCTTCGTGTGTGGATTAAAAACATGCTACTGTTTACGGTTGACGAGATCAACTTTACTTCTTAGAGTCGCGCATCATCTGCACGAAGTCCGCGAAGCATCGGTCGGAGTCGTGCGGACCCGGGGACGCTTCGGGGTGATACTGAATGGTCATCGCGCGCTTCTCCGGCCACACCATGCCGGCGCACGTGCCGTCGTTGAGGTTGACGTGGCTCACGGTGATCCCGGCCGGGAGGGACTTCGGGTCGACGGCGAAGTTGTGGTTCTGGGAAGAGATCTCCACAGCACCGTCCGCCGCCCGAACCGGGTGGTTCCCGCCGTGGTGACCGAACTTAAGCTTGAACGTCTTGCCGCCGAACGCTTGCCCGAGGACTTGGTGGCCCATGCAAATGCCGAATACTGGGAGTTGGCCGAGGATGTTCTTGGCGTTCTCCACCGCGTACGGCACGGCGCTCGGATCACCCGGGCCGTTGGAGAACATCACGCCGTCTGGATTCATCGCCATCACCTTATCCGCCGGGTACGACGCGGGAACGACGGTGAGCTTGCACCCAAAAGAAGCTAAGCGGCGCAAAATGTTGTGCTTGACGCCGAAATCGTACACCACGACGTTGAACTGATCCTTGCTCGCCTTGGCCTTATCGCTGAATTCCCACTCCCCCGTGGTATCCTTCCACTCGTACGGCTCTTTACAGGTGACCTCACTGATCAAATCCTTGCCGACGATGTTGTAACCCTTCGCCATGTCGAGGAGCTCGGCGTCGCTCTTCGAGTCGTCGTTGGAGAGGCACCCGTTCAGGCAACCGGTCTCGCGCAATCGACGCGTGATCTCGCGCGTATCGATGTCTGCGATCCCCATCACCCCCTGTTCTTCCAAATACGTGCTCAAATCCTTCACCGAGCGGTAGTTGGACACGTTCAACGACAGGTTGCGCACGATCATCGCGCCCATGTGCACCTTTGAACTCTCCATGTCGCCCTCGTTGATGCCCACGTTCCCGATGTGCGGGCACGTGAACAAAACGAACTGCCCCGCGTACGAGGGATCGGTAAGAATCTCCTGGTACCTACGCATCCACCAAAAATCCCACCGCAGTCGTCAGTCTCGCGTCTCTCGCGTCTCTCTCTCGCGCGCCGTTTGAACGCGCGTCCCGCGCCGACGTCGCCGTCCCCCCCCCCGACCCACACCGACATCCATCACCGTCCACCCCCCCGCGCGCGATCACGCGTCAACGCACCCACTGAGCGAGGTGTTGAACACCACCTCGCCCACCTCCGTCTTCTTCGCCCCGAACGATCGTCCGCGCCACACCGAGCCATCCTCCAGGACGAGGCGACAATCTCTCTCGCTCCACGGTTTCGCTCGCGCTCGGACGCTCGCGCGCGCGCTTCCGCGCGATCCCGCGAACGGTTTCGCCCGTCCGAGCGCGCCGAGCGTCGACGCGCGCGCGCGGAGCGACACCGCGTGCGCCATGACGTCCGTCGGGGTTTGCCGACGGCGCCGCGCGGTGGGGTCGGGGGCGTGGCGGCTCCATAGTCTATGTCACGGACGCCCATGTATGGCACGCACGCGCGCACACCGCGGCCGAGGGCCCGCCAGGGGGGGGGTACCGTCGAGTCACGACCCGTCGATGGACGCACACCGATGGGCGATTCGCCACTCATGGTCTCGCGCGTCGTTCAATACGTCGAGCGCGTCCCACGGCGACGATCGCGCGAAAGCGCGCCGCGACGGACGCGCGCGCTCGAGCGCCGACGCCGTGGGCGATGGCGGGCTCGATCGCGCACGCGCGTCTGTCGCGCGG